AAATCTCCCTGATATGATGTTAACTATCTTTGTGGCTATTTAAGGAAAATATTTTTAATGTACTTTGCTAAAAGTCGAAGCTATTTTACACTGTGGCACTCAAAGAAATAACAGAGTACCTTTCGGTAGCACCTTTGCAGTATACACGTTGCTCATTCAATAAACTTATAGTCGTTCAATAGCTACATTTATCAGAAAAATATCAGCAACGTTTCGGTTTGTTTTCTACATTCTTCGTTTCCTTAAACGTTCTTAAAAAAATTTTCAATGAAATATTTTTTTGCAACAAACAAAAAAATAGCCATATCAAAATTTTACACTGGCACAACACATTCAAACTGCGAAATGAGAAAAATTTGTGCTATGATATGCATTGTATTTTCATTGTCACTAGCGTTGTTGTGCTCTTACTGTGGCGATTTTTAGTTTGTGTATATAATCGGTGGTAGGTTACCACACGGACACAAATCTTAAAAATGTAGGGAGTAGAAATAACTCATTTTAAATCAGCATGTTCCCCAAATATGGTATTGTATCAGTTTTGTCGAATGAAAACGCATTCTCTTTTTATGTACACAATGACATATTCTATTTAGTTTAATTGCTTTTATTTTCGACTTTCATTTCAAACCAATTTTTTTAGCGAAATATGTTGGACATGAGCCGTATTCTATCTACATAAAACTGCCAAATGTATTGAAGACTTTGGTGTTAAATTACAGACAAAGATATTGTTTGTAAAGATATCACTGTGAGAGAACAAGTGTGGTTGTAAAAGTAAAAACAACAAACTGCTTTTATTAGTTGTGAGAATTTTTTCTTGGTCATATCACTCACTATATATTGTCTCTCAGGGTGCACTAGCTATAAATTGCTCATATATTAATAGCTGCTGATTTTTGACGCAATCGAGTTTAATCGTGTTATTTTGACATTTCAGGCATAAGAAACAATATAGCTAGTTAGAAATAATTCATTAAAGACATCATCAGGCTGCTAATCATGTTTGTTGTTGCATTTTCCACTGGGAATTTTCTTGTGATAAAATTCAGTTTTTTTAAGTCATGTACAGCCCTTACAGTTTTACTCAGTAAAGCAATTTTATTCCAACTGCATAACTAAAGAAAGAATAAACCTTACTGAAACAACTACCAATGATATGATGTAAAATGAAATTTTATCTCAAACACATGATACTCGATGATAACACAGAAGGTTACCTTTACCAGTTTGCACAGATGCATGAAATTTCAGGATGTTCTGAATGAACGGGAAACTAGATAAAATTGTTTTGCGTAATAGACGAATCTTACGTGAAAAAAAATTAGTTTCGGTGTGGTTTTTTGCGAAAAACTAACAAAACCATTACTTTAAGGTCTAAAGGATTCTTTCAATTATGCCAGTCAAAACAAACACAACAATGAGGTTTACTATCAAAAGTATGAAAGAACCAGTAAGGCTTAATAGTTCACTCTAAAACTATTTAATGTTACATGATCTTGATTCTTGGTCTCTTAATAAACTATAGCAGTTCAAACAATACATGAATAACAATATATATAAAAAAATGCTATTAATCATGAATTCCTAAAGTATAATATTTTATCTATCTAACTGCTTGTGAGGTGTATTTTTGATAGATTTTAAATATACCGTTGATGAGTTGTTTTTCAATAATTTAACTGTATAAAATAAAGGTAAAACTACTATTTTTGGTAAATTTTGGCTCTAATGCGCTATTCAGATGCTTAGAACCCACTTTAGATTTAGAACCATATACAGAATCTGAGTAAAATACTTCCATACGAAAGTTGCTCCAGTTGATACACATGATATGTCCATAATGTATGGGTTTGTGTTGTGTTCGACGAGTTAAATAAAGACTATTTTGTGTGTGGGGAGACACTGTCTTCGTACAAAAGATTAATATTGTGCAATAATTTGTATTTATGATCTCTGATGACAACTATCATGACCTCCCTTGGTTCTATTGAACTCATTCTGTAATTACATACGAATAAATTAAGAATGCGCACCTCTTAATGCGCATTGTTTATGATTTGCAATTTGAAAAACCTAATTTTTTTTATGATTCAGAGACTAATATACCGTCGACAGTCAACCCTTAAAATTAAAGATCTTTTTTTGCTATACAATTTACAATTTACATAAACAATTTCGCTTTAATTGCTCTGAAAGTTCCAATAAAACGAATATATGACGGTCCTTTTTCCTAAATATTGGTTTTTTGATGCGCCCGAATTTGAGAGATAAATATTGCTTCGCTTCAACTTTCCAAAATCATTCAGGAAGATTGTGGGGGGGGGGAGGCTTAGCTTCCCCACTTTTTCTCAACATAAAATTTTTGCTGTCTATATACTTTAGCATTGAGGCAAATTAAGACGCAGGAAATTTAGTGCTGAAATTCAAGTCTTAACCTCCTTAGGTTCAATTTCATGGCGTTGTGCCAGAATAAACTTTTCAAAATGTTTCCTCTACGCCTGGCACACCCTATCGAGGAAAAAACATTGAAACAATTTCATGTTTTTGTGTAACGAAATCAGCTTCACCAAATAGTCCATTATTCTTTTTCTTCACCGTTCTGTTAGGTATGTTTTAAAATACTTGAGTGAACTGTATCATGACATATGTGCAATTTACATTGTCAAATGTATCATCGCTTTTAAAGATTGGAGTACAAATCCTTTGATAACTATATCCATTAAGCCTTTGTCATCGTCATAATCTATTAATCCGGAGAAATTTGTAAAATTGAGTACTATCCAAGCACAAGTGTTTATTTCTTCAACCTCTGACTTTGTTTGTATATTTCCAAAATAATTCATAAACTGATTTCCTCATTATGTTGAGATTATAAACTGTGATAGTATAGTGTTTATAATGAAACAGACGTTAAGTTAGTTTCTGAGGATTGTGTGTTTGTTTTCTTTATTTCATTTACGTGTATGGTCTTCCACAAATATCTTTTTTTTCAATTAAACATTAGATTTTAAGACCACCCATGTATAAAATAGTCACACAGCCTATGCTGATGCAATTATGTGGGCAGTTTGCCAAACGGTACTTTAAAAAGTCACACTTGTCCTAAAACACTAAAAGAAAACTTTTCACACTGAATGCATGCCCATTTTCTAGGAAACATGTGAACAAAACACTTAAGTGAGTGCACTGAATATTAGGCATGTCTTGATTGATTTAAATGTTTTATAACATCAGTTTTCTAAGGATGGTTTTGCACAACTTATTCAGTTAACATAATAAGATTGATTTTCCTACTACAGAGAATTCTGTAGTTATTTATATTACACTATAAACTAAACCAATATTTTTTAAATTATGAATAAATAATATGTTATTAGAATACATATATTAAGCGTTAATAAGTTTGCTTACTACTTATCTCATGGAGGCGATTGTTGTTTAAGCTATGTGGTCTTGACTAATGTAAGTAATTATCCCCTTTCTCTTCTTAAATATAACAATAATGACAACATTTTGAATGACAAACATCCTATATAGTGATGATCTATAAGTGTACAAGAAAACAACAATTTGTTCTTTCTGTTTTTTCTTGTTCTTAGCTAGATCTAATTGTGTGCTATGATCCATATAATTGCGATGAGCTAATCTATTTCCTTATTTCATCGTTTTACTAAAATCTCAAATAACATGTTTCGTGCCCTACATGCAGAACTGACAACTGTACAAAGGAGTGCGTTGCCAAGACTTAATTCTAATGGTGAAAACCATGCCCTAAACATTTTTTCGATAAAAATTTTGTCCTTTCTCTCAAGTTTCTCGATACTCTTGAGATCTTAATAATGTAAAATTCTTTTTTGGGTACTACGTCACTAACTATTTTTTATATAAGCAAAAATTCAGAAATTTGTATTCAATTAAACGACAAACAGGAACAATGAAGTTAAAGAAATATATTAATCTTTATATTAGTATTTGATTTAACGAGCAGCTGATCGAGGTAACGTACACACAAATGGATTTTGATCATTGGTTCTAAACGTTTGTTAATTGAGTGTAATAATAATGTATATGAGTTAAGCACAAGTCAAACTTCTCTTTTACAATGCTATAGTATTAGTGATTAAATATGAGTTTTGGAAGGCAATTGATCCTCTTATATGTTAAATTTACACTTTTTGTTACCATCACTATAGGAGTCTGTTCCCCTCTCATTTCCTGTTGCTGTAATCTTTCAAGTACGATCATCAACAGTTGCGGATGTTCGTTAATTTTCATTGAATTTTCATTTGATTTTTTTTATTTATTTGTTTTGTCAATGAACCTTGCCAACAAAGAGTTTTGTCATACGTTTCATTTCAAAAAATCTTACGAATTGGAGCAGCAGGTCAGTTGGAGAGGAACAAAGTCAGAGATCAACCCGATTAAACCAAACGTAAAAAATATTGTAAAAGGAAGTCTTTTTTGTATAAGGACATTATGCAATTTTCTTCATTTTTCTTTTTGAAAAATAAAAAATGAGACATCACTCAATGACAAATGACAATGTGTCTTTCGGCGAGCAACTTGGATATCGTGTCAATGACCTATTATGAAACCTTTTTAAATATAGATGATATTGAAATTGCTAAATTATACTAATTTTTACATTGTGTTTAATAAAGTCAGTTCCTGCTTAAAAAATCCCTCATTGAACTATTTGTCATTGACTAAATCGTTGCAAAATTAAGTAACGTTTTTGATTAAAGTTTATGTGTTACCTATTCACCGCTTGAATGAGGTACGTGTTATCAAATTAGATATACCAAATAGAGGACCGTTAACTATACTTAAAAATCGACTATTCATTAATTTCTTGAGGTTTCCATCATTAATCAACCACCGAAGACATGAGCACTTGTCACACTTCGTATTTGAACACTGGCTCGAAAGTGACTTGAATTTGATTGCACTTGAGCATTTCATATTGTTAAATAATGCATTCATTGGTTGTTGTTATGGCTTCCGGCCAGCCATTCTGGTATCTACAAATGTGAGAGAGGGATGCTTTTGGACTAGGTTGACGTGGCATTTCTCGTGGCGAAATGAAAATACACATGTCGACAACGTAAAATGGTTAAGTCGTGGAATAAAACTATACGTATTTTCCTTTTATGCTTTACTTGGTACTCTATTAGTTCGCTCAACAATATAAACAATAAGAAATTATTAACGTTGTTTCCTCATCCAATTTCCTTGTCTTTAATTCATGTTCTTTCATCATCGGTTTTTCTTGGACCTATTCTGAATTTGTGGAAAGTACCAAAGAAGCCGAAGCTCAATTACAAAACGTTTTTACAACTTATTGTTCCTCTGGGTTTGGGCAGAGTGTTTGGATCTGTTTCGGCTCATGTAACGATATGGAAAGTTCCTGTCTCTTATGCTCACACAGGTACGTATATTGTGAAATAGTTTTGTTGATAAAGTTTTTTAAACACGTGGATAGTTTATGGTAATCTTAGCGATATTACCAAGTTTATAAAATTGCTAACAACCGATCAATGTTTGATAATCAAATGCATAAATTTGTTTTATATATATGGTCCAAAAAATGATGCCAAATCTCGTTAAAAGTTGGGTATTTGTATTTTAAAACATGGCTTTTGCCTGAAAAAACACGTATTTACTTATTATTTTCCAAGTACAAATTATTCCATTTCATACTATCTGTTTCATTTAAAAAAATCATCAAATATATTTTAAAGGAGACTGTGTATGAATTGATTTATAAACATTGACAAACATTGTTTCTTTGGCTAAATGTCATCCAATATTATTTTGTACATATTGTCTTACAAATCCAATATTGCAAAGTAATTCCAATTACAGACATCTCTTTTTCTTCATATTTAAGATAAAGAAGAGTGTATGCTCAGTGTATTGTATCTAAAGTTATTGCAAAGAAATTGTCAGACCAATGATCATTGGTCCGACAGACAAAATATAACCTACTATGTGTTGTAATTTGTAATCTTGCTTTGTCTTTGATATCAAAAAAGATGTCTGTATTTGGAGTCTCTCTTACATTTTGTATTTTCTGAAGTTGTCTGCTTGTATTGCAAAGTTGTAAGCTGAAAAGATAAAAATGAAGTTGTTTTAGCAATTGATTTCATCATGTTGTTCGTATCATGTTTTTTTTTACATTTTCTACAAACAATACTAATTGTAAAGCTGTTTTACTGTTTTAAAATTCTCTCTCATATTTAACACATTATATTCATATTTTACTTGTACTTATATTATGTTCTTATTTTATATTTTCTATCAAATAAACTTGATGTATCTGGTTATTCTTGGGCAATAAAACAGTGAAGGTATGAAGTATGAATATTTTTTAAAAGACTTGTGACATTTTTATTCCTTTGTAATGTTTTGCCTTACTCATGAAAGACTTTAAAAAATAATTTTACTCTTACGTAATCGCACAAGCACATAGTTATCTTGTAATGATTATAGTATTGACTTTGATTTTGTTCATTTTGTTATATTTTGTTATAGGGTACTATGCCAATCTTTACTGTGGTACTCACTAGGATAATTGTTGGAGAAAAATATACTTGGAAGGTATAAAATTTTGAAAATTTGTCATGATGTATTTGGTTAAGATATAACATCATCAATTTTTGCAAGATGATATGACATTTTTATGATCAATTTCAAACATTGGCAACTTTTACAATTAAAATGCAATCTCAGGAAAGATTAATGTTGTTTGCAAGCTCTCCGATAATAAATTACAACTTCAAAAGCAAGGAAAAAATCTTGTATAGAAAGTCTTGAATTGAGTCAAATTCAGCATGTTGGCCCCTTCTGTAAAAGTAGTTAGTTGGTTGTAACATAATGGATATTTTCTGAATTTATATCATTTCAGGTATATCTATTACTCATACCAATCATAAGTGGAATTACAATTGCTACATTGACAGAAATTTCTTTTAACATTGTGGGATTAATCAGTGCACTTGTATCAACATTGTGTTTTGCCTTACAAAACATGTATTCAAAAAAGGTACGATGAATCTTTTATTGTTTACACTTTATAATCACGTAATCTACTAAATTCTTCATGTTTGGTTCTATATGAAGATCACATGTTTCACATGTAATTGTTTTGTTGAAAACTTATTTACGACTTAGCTAACCTAGTTTAATGAAAGCACAATATCATACGTTCTTACTTTTGCACGTATTGATACACTGGACTTAGCATGGAAACATGCACATGGAAAGATGAGAAAACGCATCGTCTATTGACAAAATTATATCATGCTGTTGTTTGAATGCTTTACAATAAATGAGAGAAACGTCCTTTAAAAGCCGAATCCAAAAAGCTTTAGAATGAATGAGAGAAAGGTACTTTAAAAGCCGAATCCAAAAAAGCTTTACAATGAATGAGAGAAACGTCCTTAAAAGCCGAATCCAAAAAAGCTTTAGAATGAATGAGAGAAACGTCCTTTAAAAGCCGAATCCAAAAAGCTTTAGAATGAATGAGAGAAAAGGTACTTTAAAAGCCGAATCCAAAAAAGCTTTACAATGAATGAGAGAAAAGGTACTTTAAAAGCCGAATCCAAAAAAGCTTTTAAATGAACGAAAGAAACGTCCTTTAAAAACCGAATCCAAAAAATTAAAACTCTCTTACTGTTTTAGGTTTTAGAAGTCTTAAAGATGAACCATTTGAGATTGTTACAAGAAATATCAAAGGTTTCAGTTATATCTCTCATTCCATTTTGGATATATTACGACTATATTGACGTCATGAGAATGAGTAATTTTGTAAGTATTTTGTAAAAAATTTTGTTTTTATAATTCCTAGAAAAAATTCATTGAACAATTACTGTCGTACGTTAAATATTTTGTCGAGACTATTTGTCATTGAATTTCAGAAAAACGAACAAAATTCTGATGCATTGTGGGTGATTGGATCTCTGCTGGTCAGCGGTCTTTTAAATTTTGCTCAAAGTGTGGTGTCGTTTACTGTTCTCAAACTTGTTTCACCTTTAAGTTATTCAGTTTGTACTGCTGCAAAGAGAATATTAGTAATTGCCGTTTCATTACTTGTTCTCAAAAATCCTGTAACAATCTTGAATATTTATGGCATGATTATAGCAATACTTGGCGTTTTATTTTATAAAAAGGTAAGCCTCGATACGCAGATTACATCTATTTGTTATTTGTCTTTGTTTAGGTGCCTGGAGAGGTTAGGTGTTTGACTTATGATTGAATAGGGTTGCTTTATCATTTTTGGCATATTTTTTATAATCACAAAAACTATTTTATTCAATCTAAATTTCCTGTATGATATATTAAATTTTTGATTCTCAACCTTTTCTCATGAGCTGAGAATTCATTCTATCTTTTAAAATATACGACAGTCATCTGTTTCATTGCATTTTTTCGAAGAAAAAGTTACTCACGCAAATTTACGAGAATTTTATGGGTATTTTTACTTTTTCAGGCAAAACTTGATGCTCGACGAATGGAAAATGAACTACCAGTGGCAGTCGACAATAAATCTAAATTACTATTTAATCCGAATGGTCATGCGCATTTATATTAGATTATTGCTTTTATTGTGTTGATATGCAGTTGTTAAGAATGATGAATCGAAATGTGTCATGTCGCTTTCCAGTAGAAATACGGAGATATATAGTAGACATATATGTATAAATAAATACTTATATGAGTATTTTAGAACACGTGAGTCAAACTGTTTTCTGTAAGTTGCGATATTGTTGTTTGCCTGTACTGGCCAGAACGAATGTTACATAAATCGATTCTAAGAAATAACGTGAGGCACACATGGATATAAGCGGGTGTTCGCGAGAGGTTCAGTACACTTATTTTTGGAGTATAAGAAGTGTTTCACTGAAAGCGCGACTGCAATTTAACAAATGCTCGCATGTATCAAGTATTAACAAAAAACAGATGATAATATATATTTTGTTATTATTGCAAAAGCAAATTATTTAAATTTCAAGATATTGGTGTACATTATCACTAAATCTAGTTGTCTCAAAATTTTATATAAATTTCCATTTTCTTTTCTTTATTTTCTTTTGGAGACCTAAGAAAATGTAAAATCCATGTCATTCAGTCACTTGCATGGTTAGTGTAGAATTTTGTACTGAGCTCATGGTAGTTTTACAATGTCGTGGCATGTTCACGGTGTAGTTCTTAGAATTTCGTGGCATGTTCACGGTATAGTTTTTAGAATTTCGTGGCATGTTCACGGTATAGTTCTTAGAATTTTGTGGCATGTCTATGGTAGTTCGAGGTAATAGACTATTTTAGACAATATCTACCAATCACCATGAAGAAAGTAATGCTAAAGTACTCTGTAGAAAAAATCAAAGAAAAAATGCATACCTTATTGTTTGCACATTCAGGGTTTTTGTAATCATGCGTGTAGTGACAAGGGATGCGGCAATAATCAGCCTGAAATGCATAAATATTATGGTCAGAAAAGTTTAAATAAATGTAATCTGGTCACACTAGCTAGAAGGCCATATTGCTCTGCATAGACGAGTAACTTATGTTTGACCAATTCAACTATCAAAAACAGTTTGAATCTCTTATTGAAAATTTATGAACAACCTTATATTATACGTAGTCCTATTATTTTGTGAAGACTAACCGTTAAATTGATAGGTTTTTTAAAGTTTAGAGTACTAACCAAAATCCTATTTTTAACAATGTAATCAGCATTTGGTCCTGTCCAACCATATGCACATAAGCAACGTCCATTAGCAAGGCAAGTACCGGCATGAGTATATACGCCAGTACCACATAAAAGATCACATGAAACTAAAAAATTTTTTTGCAAAGTAGTTCAGTCAATGACCAAGGTTGCACTCGTGTGAAACTATTTTGTGAAGATGATGAGTTATTATGGCTTATAATTCACCTTTTGCGGTTTGAAGTTGATTTGTTTTTTTCTCGTTTATTGAGCTATCGTCCCAAGAGCCATTAAGACATTTTGGGTTACGAACATACGGTGTAAAATGGCAAGGTCTTGCGCAATAGTTAGCCTAAAATGGACAGTTATAATTTGCAAAACACGTCGAATCAAACTCCTATTAAACATAACTTTTCTATAACATTATAAAATGTAAAAAATTGTAGATATTATTTACAATTATTCTGTTTCTGTATTCTCCACTTTCAACATAACAGGCATTAGGCCCAGTCCACCCCCACCAACACAGACATCGACCATTACTCAAGCACACTCCACGACCAAAATACGGCTCTAATAACGTAATAAAAAACTTTTATTTCACCGAAACAAACAAAATGACGAATCCATACGATCAAATTTTGATTTTCAAATATCAACATGTATTTTAAAGTTTTGATAATTTTTTAATGATCTTACGATTTCCACATTTTGGATCACAGGGATTTTTTGGTTCCAATGACGTCGGAACTTTGCATTCTCCTCCTGTGCGTTTTGAGCTAACACATACTGGATTGCGATAATCTGGCGTATAGTGACACGGAATTCGACAATAATCTGCCTAAAATGTTGAAACACTTTGATTTCGACCATAAATGTCATCTATTTGCTTGTGAATGATTAAAAAGTGTAAGTTGATATAGCTAATGCATAGCAAAAAAAAGATAGCTTTCATATCTATAAACATCGACAACTTATAAGTAATGTAATCATCTTATCCAAATCAACCATCCTAGATAAACAAACAAAGATGAAATACCATGATTCTATTTTCTTTGATGTAGTAAGCGTTGGGTCCTGTCCATCCCCAGAAACAAAGACATTTTCCGTTTGGTTGACAAGTTCCTGCATGAGTATAAACGCCAGTACCACACAACGGGTTACAGGAAACTATACAATTGTTTAAAAAATAATTTCAGTTGATAACTATCATCAGTTGAAAACAATGAATGTTTATAATTGTTTTGTAAAGATGATGAGTTATTATGGCTTAAATTTCACCTTTTACAGTTTGAAGTTGATTTGTTTTTTTCTCGTTAATTGAGCTATCGTCCCAAGAGCCATTCAGACATTTTGGGTTACGAACATACGGTGTAAAATGGCAAGGTCTTGCGCAATAGTTAGCCTAAAATGGACAGTTATAATTTGCAAAACACGTCGAATCAAACTCCTACTAAATATTATTTTTCTATAACATTATGAAATGTAAAACAGTCGATATTATTTACAATTATTCTGTTTCTGTATTCTCCACTTTCAACATAACAGGCATTAGGCCCAGTCCAGCCCCACCAACACAGACATCGACCATTACTCAAGCACACTCCACGACCAAAAAATGGCTCTAACAACGTAATAAAAAACTTTTATTTCACCGAAACAAACAAAAATGACGAATCCATACGATCAAATTTTGATTTTCAAATATGAACATGTATTTTAAAGTTTTGATAATTTTTTAATGATCTTACGATTTCCACATTTTGGATCACAAGGATTTTTTGGTTCTAAAGACGTCGGAACTTTGCATTCTCCTCCTGTGTGTCTTGAGCTAACACATACTGGATTACGATAATCTGGCGTATAGTGACACGGAATTCGACAATAATCTGCCTAAAATGTTGAAACACTTTGAATTCGACCATAAATTTCATTTCTTTGCTTGTGTATGATTAAAAAGTGTAAGTTGATATAGCTAATGGATGACAAAAAGAAGATAGCTTTCATATCTATAAACATCGACAACTTATAAGTAATGTAATCATCATCTTATCCAAATCAACCATCCTAGATAAACAACAAACAAAGATGAAATACCATGATTCTATTTTCTTTGATGTAGTAAGCGTTGGGTCCTGTCCATCCCCAGAAACAAAGACATTTTCCGTTTGGTTGACAAGTTCCTGCGTGAGTATAAACGCCAGTACCACACAACGGGTTACATGAAACTATACAATTGTTTAAAAAATAATTTCAGTTGATAACTATCATCAGTTGAAAACAATGAATGTTTATAATTGTTTTGTAAAGATGATGAGTTATTATGGCTTATAATTCACCTTTTGCGGTTTGAAGTTGATTTGTTTTTTTCTCGTTAATTGAGCTATCGTCCCAAGAGCCATTAAGACATTTTGGGTTACGAACATACGGTGTAAAATGGCAAGGTCTTGCGCAATAGTTAGCCTAAAATGGACAGTTATAATTTGCAAAACACGTCGAATCAAACTCCTATTAAATATTACTTTTCTATAACATTATGAAATGTAAAACAGTCGATATTATTTACAATTATTCTGTTTCTGTATTCTCCACTTTCAACATAACAGGCATTAGGCCCAGTCCACCCCCACCAACACAGACATCGACCATTACTCAAGCACACTCCACGACCAAAATACGGCTCTAATAACGTAATAAAAAACTTTTATTTCACCGAAACAAACAAAATGACGAATCTATAAGATCAAATTTTGATTTTCAAATATGAACATGTATTTTAAAGTTTTGATAATTTTTTAATGATCTTACGATTTCCACATTTTGGATCACAGGGATTTTTTGGTTCCAATGACGTCGGAACTTTGCATTCTCCTCCTGTGCGTTTTGAGCTAACACATACTGGATTGCGATAATCTGGCGTATAGTGACACGGAATTCGACAATAATCTGCCTAAAATGTTGAAACACTTTGATTTCGACCATAAATGTCATCTATTTGCTTGTGAATGATTAAAAGTGTAAGTTGATATAGCTAATGGATAGCAAAAAAGATAGCTTTCATATCTATAAACATCGACAACTTATAAGTAATGTAATCATCTTATCCAAATCAACCATCCTAGATAAACAAAAACAAAGATGAAATACCATGATTCTATTTTCTTTGATGTAGTAAGCGTTGGGTCCTGTCCATCCCCAGAAACAAAGACATTTTCCGTTTGGTTGACAAGTTCCTGCATGAGTATAAACGCCAGTACCACACAACGGGTTACAGGAAACTATACAATTGTTTAAAAAATAATTTCAGTTGATAACTATCATCAGTTGAAAACAATGAATGTTTATAATTGTTTTGTAAAGATGATGAGTTATTATGGCTTATAATTCACCTTTTACAGTTTGAAGTTGATTTGTTTTTTTCTCGTAAATTGAGCTATCGTCCCAAGAGCCATTAAGACATTTTGGGTTACGAACATACGGTGTAAAATGGCAAGGTCTTGCGCAATAGTTAGCCTAAAATGGACAGTTATAATTTGCAAAGCACTTCGAATCAAACTCCTATTAAATATTACTTTTCTATAACATTATGAAATGTAAAACAGTCGATATTATTTACAATTATTCTGTTTCTGTATTCTCCACTTTCAACATAACAGGCATCAGGCCCAGTCCAGCCCCACCAACACAGACATCGACCATTACTCAAGCACACTCCACGACCAAAAAATGGCTCTAACAACGTAATAAAAAACTTTTATTTCACCAAAACAAACAAAAAGGACGAATCTATAAGATCAAATTTTGATTTTCAAATATGAACATGTATTTTAAAGTTTTGATAATTTTTTAATGATCTTACGATTTCCACATTTTGGATCACAAGGATTTTTTGGTTCTAAAGACGTCGGAACTTTGCATTCTCCTCCTGTGCGTTTTGAGCTAACACATACTGGATTACGATAATCTGGCGTATAGTGACACGGAATTCGACAATAATCTGCCTAAAATGTTGAAACACTTTGAATTCGACCATAAATGTCATTTCTTTGCTTGTGAATGATTAAAAAGTGTAAGTTGATATAGCTAATGGATAACAAAAAAAAGATAGCTTTCATATCTATAAACATCGACAACTTATAAGTAATGTAATCATCATCTTATCCAAATCAACCATCCTAGATAAACAACAAACAAAGATGAAATACCATGATTCTATTTTCTTTGATGTAGTAAGCGTTGGGTCCTGTCCATCCCCAGAAACAAAGACATTTTCCGTTTGGTTGACAAGTTCCTGCGTGAGTATAAACACCAGTACCACACAACGGGCTACACTTTCCACAAACTGCAAATACAAAAAAAAACATCAATGTATGCTCATGTCCATCTTTATGTAAAAATTGAAAAATCACATCCACTATCGAAATCAACACGTTTTGGTAAAAGTTGCTAGTAACACAGTTCCAAAGCACGTTCACAACTTTGTTGGGCATACCGACTACTATATTATTAGGCTGCCACCGAAGTTGCTCTTCTTATTTTTCTTTTGATATTTGATAGTCGTGCATTTATCTGGTATTTACGTCACCCAACTTGTATGTACATGCGTGCAATTTATAACAAAATATTTGTACCACTATATATAACCAAAAACGATGTCACAATACAGTGGTACTAATACCACAGTCTAAGATTGTCTAGGTCTAACGTACTTTGTAAAACATGAAAATGTGTTTCGTTTCTCAAAACCATTTTAAGTAATGTTGAATTATAGTGGTTGACTGATCAATGGAAGACATTTCTTTGGCAAATGGGATGCTGGCCGATAAATAAAACAGGTTTTGTATTATATCAACTCAGAAAATAGGTGTATGTTTCAAAAAAGACTTTAAAGATCCAGGCAGTTACAATTTCAAGAACGACTCACCTACAACTTGAGCTCTCGTATAAGAAGAAAGGAATAGTACCAGAAAACATGATCCAAACAATAACATCATTTTTAAGCGTCTTTTTCAGTATTGAAACTCCGCCGTGCTACTTGAATTAAATATTGATCATGAGTAACTACTATATAATATTCATTTTTTACTTTTTTACTCTTATGATTCGGAATTGTTAATTATTGACTATATAATAATATTATACAATATTCTTTATTGGCAAGTCTTCGAGGTATATATCATGATAAAAAATCAGCTGTAATATGAGAAGCAATAGTCACAGAGAAATTCACCTTCTCGGTCACTGTATATTAATGGAAGAACGAAATCAGTGGATTTTCCTGGTTTTATTTTTGTGTCTTAAAATCTAGAATTGATTCCGCTGGTTGACTACCAACAAGGATGATTGGCACAATGAATTGGAAAGATTATCGAATAAAATTACGATGTAAAAACGACTGGTCAGTAAATGATAACAATGGTCGCAATTTTGATATAATTTACAGTAAAACCAAAGTCGAAATCATAAAATATCAATTTCGTGTAGAAAATATATGCGCACGGTCTGTCACTCTCGATTTGATGTATTTGCAACTGCATCGCATTTGTGATTTGCACAGAATGCAAAACCAATAAAGCCTAGAGTCAATAACACCATTGACATAGCAAATTAGCTTAACACAGGTGATTAAAGAGTTAAAATTTGCGTTTTTTTACCTTCTAGATGTTGATCCGTTGAACGTCTTTCTGAAATAAATAAATTTTGCATATGTCACGAGTTGAAGTAATGTAAAATCGACTTCCTGGTATTTGTTTTACCATCAGTCATGTGATTAATACGACTAGTTAAAGATTGTATTCAAAGATTGTATATGGTTCAGAATATTTTTATTTCTTTGAAATCTATATTTTCAGCAGCGAGGAAACTTTAAAAAATTGTATAACAGCCCTAAGAAAAAAACAAAACAGTCGCTCCGTGTAAGAGAAGGGTAAGTCCATTTCCCGGAATTGATCTAACAACAGTCATGCAAATCAACTTCTTGGTAAAGTTAACTGGCATTTCCATGCAATAGAAGGGTTTGTCAGATTCATGGAATTGATCTAACCTTAGTATTTCGTGTCGACTATGGTGTCAGCCTGTTGGTAAAGATTTAGGTTTAAAGTTATATTTGAGTGACTTGTCTAAACGTATCTGCTTTGATATTTCCTGCCAGATATCTAAGATAACAAGCACCTGTCTGTGAAATTAATATCATCAGAAATAATGAAGTATTTCTTCCTTCTAACTAAAAAGACAAGAGAAACTCAAGTTCTGAGAAAAATCACAGAAAATATAAATTCTACATGTATTGCTAACGTTAGCAATGTCTGAATGTAGCATTGCCTTTAGTTAAGGTCTTTGGAATGGTGCTTCTGAAAATACCATAATACATTTGTATTATGATTTCCTAGGCGCAAACGTAAACTGCACATAACGTCAAAATCAATACTTTAGTTAAGGTCTTTGGAATGGTGCTTCTGAAAATACCATAATACATTTGTAATATGATTTCCTAGGCGCAAACGTAAACTGCACATAACGTCAAAATCAATACTTTAGTTAAGGTCTTTGGAATGGTGCTTCTGAAAATACCATAATACATTTGTAATATGATTTCCTAGGCGCAAACGTAAACTGCACATAACGTTAAAATCAATACTTTAGTTAAGGTCTTTGGAATGGTGCTTCTGAAAATACCATAATACATTTGTATTATGATTTCCTAGGCGCAACCGTAAACTGCACATAACGTCAAAATCAATACTATACGCTGTATGAGTATGTTACCTTTCTTCACGGTAGACAATGTGAACACTTCGCTAACCGTTTACTGCTGCTGTCGCAGGAAATTTGTCCCACCCGAGGGGCATATTTCCTTGGAAAGTTGTCCTCCTTTTCGGAAATTTTTTCCCCATACGAACTTTTACCTTCATGTTGAAAAATGGTAAAACAAGATCGAAGGTGATTTAAGATTACAATCTATTTAGATCTATAAATTTAGTCAAATTTTATAAAACCAGTCAGAACAACCATCTTTAGCGATGACATCATGCACTGGCTAAAGACAAACATGTAAATATTCACGCATCTAACAAAGAACGAGTAGTAATAAAACTATAATGACTCAAAAAAACAATCCTCAAACACAAAAGCGCAAGAGAATGAAGGGATTAAATGACTCACACCTTTCACCAGAGTTGATTTTCACAAACACAAACCGCATCAGCAAGATACCTCGGCGTTCCCTCGTGATCGGCAAAACGCAATAAAAGGAACTAACTCGCTTTAGTAAATATTTACTCAGTTATTTAAAATAAGAAACACATGTTTTTTACTTTTAATGACGTTTTTCGTTACTTCTTTCAAATGAGGAGTGACAAATTTACGAACGGGGGGACTTATTTCTTAGGAAATGTGACCCGGGTGAAGACAAATTTCTTACCCCAGGGGACCAATATTTTTTTGGGGGGGTGGGTCATATTTTCTGTGACAACACAAATACATTTGAGTTTGAAAAATTGTTCACGACAAAGACGGCTGTCACAAAGGAACAGCGCGTTAAAAAAGAATATACTAGTTCCTCCCACTTTCCCATTAATTGACAGAGACATGTGCTCTCATCTCATTGATCGATGATATCAAGTGATATTGATTACAAAATTTTGTCAAATCATGATTTATATTTCATAAACAATTGTGTCAAGTTAGGGTCACAGATCAGGTGTCAGTCTAAAGTGCAGCGTCAGCATGCGTCATTTGATTTTTTATTGTAATACGCATGTCTCAATGTCGTCACAAACATAAAGTTCAACAATATGGCGGATTTCGGCGATCGAGAAATGATCTTGGCAAATTTTCAGGTTATACATGCTGTGTCTTATTGAATTGTATGAAACTGTTTTTACTGAATTTTTTTAATGTTTGACTGTAGGCTGTAACTGCCATCGATAATCTTGATGAATGTATTGAATGGCTCAATCAAAACGATTGGGATTTAATGGCAAGTCTAAAATCTTTCACAATTTTCGATTCGTTTTGTTTGTTGAATGCCAGTAAATAGACAATATTAAGTGTCATTTTGTTTGCTGTTGAACTAAATAGTGAAAAATATTCATTTGAGCTAGTTTCACATTTTGCCTTTTGCCTGTCAGCAAAATAGCGTAACTTGGCTAACATAATACAAAGCTATTCTTAGCTATATTTGCAATTCAAAACACTTTAGAAGCATAGATTGTTTTGTTTTATAACCAGTACCATTATTATAGAGCCATTTTGAATTTGAAATTGAGCCAAAGTAGCTTCATTTGCCTAAATCTCAATCGGCTCCTGGCAATGGGCAAATAATTAAAGTTTTTTTGGTTCTACTCTTATCAAATGCCATAAAAAATCAAAAATATCCATTTGTATCTATCTTCTGTAACCTCCAGTTCAATACTCTCTTAGTCTTCTTTTTAGCTTCTTTATTCTAAATTAAGCAGTGTGCGATGCCGAATTAGTTCAGAAAAAACGATGTGCAATTTTTTTGACAAAAATGTTTCTTTAGAGGCATAATCAAATCGATATCATGTTAATTATTATACAGTGCTAATTGCTAAATTAATATTTTTAAACATGAAAAAATTCATATGATTTACAACAGTGTTTTTCGTTAGAACTGCTAATTTTTGCATATCGATTGAAAAAGTGATGTGCAATTGTTTTCATTTTAGCTAAAACAATGTGCAAATTGCACATTGCACACCGTTAATTTGCACACTGAATTAAGTATGCTTTTATTCTTATTATTTGTTTTATGTACTGTTCCAAAGGCCTTCCAAGCTTTATTTTCGAAATATCTAACATGTGTTGTCTCTCTAATGTACACATTACTTTTTTCTTCAAACTGTGTGACTCCTAAAGATATCTTCAGAGAAGTATGCCTCCTGACTTTTAGTGTTTCGGTATTTAACATTATGGTCTCCTACCTCTTGTTAACCATTTTTTTCATTATTAATGATGTGGTTTTGTCATGTAGCATGCCGGACACTATTTTCCAATTTGGAATAGAATGTGAAAAAAGCAAATAAAGAGTGCTGTTTAAAGCACTTGCATTTGCACAATTTTTTCACATTATTTCTACAATGTATATTTATATGGAAGCGAGAAATTTTTTATACTCCAATTATACTGCATATTTTTTGTGTATACTCATGAATTCTTGTCATTTATTAACTTCTCTATGATTGGGCAAACAATTATCTCTACCAAGTGTTTCCTTCATTTACTTTTATTATCAAAGATTATATAAATGTTCAATATATGATTTTGCCACTATCATAACATGTAAGATTTCTTCATCTTATTATGTAATTATTTTATTTTATGTGTTCACTGCAATAACAACAAATTTAGATGTTTGAAACTGTAAAAATTATTTTCTCAATTTTAATATCAGGACTAAACTTGGGTTCAAACCAAGGCTAGTGGCTCTTGCTGTACTGTTTTGAATCCAAGTGAAAAAGCCCTTGACTAGAAAAACCCTTGTATGGCTTTATTTTCTCTAGTCTTCTGTCAATTCTGTGTTTGCAAATGAATCAGAAGTTTGTCAGGATACAACAGAGTTTCTATCAGATTCCTTATCATCAAAAAGGTAGAAATAATTGATATGCTTTTGTTTGTTAATGTCATTAAATAACTAACTATAGTTAATATTCAAACCATTCACTTTATTATTTTGTTTGTACATTAGGTAATGTAGTTTATACTGCAGAGTTGCAACATTGCAGTGTTTTTATGTGAAGAGCAATTAGTTTTCATTGAGAACTATACATCAGACTACATTAACTTTTTCATTGTTGTTCAACAATGTGAAGGAATTACTTGTGGTAATGGATTTTCTAGTAGGAAACATAATCTTATTGTGAACATTAAAGCCCAGCTTATTGCTTAGAAATTAATGTAGAAATTAATAGAAAATAATCTTTCATTTTCATGTTTTGCTATTTGTATTTTTCTGTGAGATTTATGTGAAATATTTTATAGTTAATTCTCATTACCAAACAAACGGTGGCGCTGTTTTTTTTTGAGACTTTGCGCTATCCTTGAATCATTAGTTTAGTAAATTTTGAAGAGTCTCACAATTTAAAGTTTTAAATTAAAATTTATGGTTTCGAAAATACTGCTCTTATATTTGACAGTGTGCAAATCCAGGCAAAACCAGATGTTATTGTTCCAAGTTTGGATTATCCTGTATTGGAGAGTGGCTTATCTGTTCCGAGCAGCTCCAAGACACATGCAGTGTATGAAACTAACAATGTAGAGAGTGAAAAGACCGGTGAAAGAGTATTAAGATTTTCTATAAAGTGGAAAGATGGAGTTTTTCCTGTTACTTTAAATGACAGTTGCTCTGTTGGTAGGTATTCTACATGTTTTGATTATGAAGAGTATTTTCTAGAGACAACTGAAATCTTTTTCGATCAACTTTTACCAACAAGTTTCGAAGATATTGGATTGTTTAATTTGTTATTTGTTCTGGTAATTGTCATCATCTTTTTATGTTATAATAACAATTGTTTTAATGATAATTGTTTTAATGAGTTTTAATGAACCAGAAACTTTATTTCTTAAGAAATGTTTCTGTAAATATTTATATAAGCTTTGTGGATTGAATATCATCTACTTCTTATTGTTCATATTTTCCAGGAATGTTGAAACAGGAAATAGAAAAGCGTACTGGTGTGCCCAGAAAACATCACGAGTTGGTCCAATGGCCTCAAAATATTTCTGTGACCGACAAGGTATTTTGCAGGACTCTCAAAGATTTTAATCTCAAAGCAAATTGAATGAAATTTGTTGATGTTATGCATTTGAATCATTGAGACAAAATACAAGTTTTTTTTAGACGATTTTGTCTCATTTAAATTTGGAAGATGAAACAACACTATTATGGACGCCAACTTTGACTACTAACCTTGATGAAACTAGTTCTCAGACCTCCTCCACTTTTACGAATGGAATCACCAAATCTTTGTACGTAGAGCGAACATTTTATTTATCTTCAATGTTTATCTTTCAAAGTGTTAGTTGAAATACTATTTTGTATAGCAAATATTTTAATTCATCTTTCAAAGTGTTGTTGAAAATGCTATTTTGTGATGAAACTTTATAGGAATAAATTTTGTCTTGTTTTTTTTGTGGCAGGCGTCATCCAACGTCTTCTGATGTAAAGTTGCGGATACGTTATCTCAATAAACGATATGATTTAAATTTGTCTGGAACAAAAACCATAGGAGAGGTATGGTAAAATAGTTAAAGTGTGCATTTTAATGAGTGATGTCAGATTTCACTAATGTTATGGATACGTAGGGAGCTTTAGGTATTAAAGTGTGGATTGTGTCTACTGTTTGATGTCAGATTTCACTCATTTTGTTGATATATAAGGAGCTTTAGGTATTCACGTGTGTGTTGTGTCCACTGTTTGCTGTCAAATTTTATTAATGTTATTGATACATAGGGAGCTTTAGGTATTAAAGTGCACATTGTGATCACCGTGCCATACCAGATTTCACGTATTTTATTTGTATCCAAGGTGAAAACAGATATGAGTCATCGTACAGATGTCGAGCCTCGCCATCAGGAATGGATTGGCTGGCCAGAAAAAACAACTAATGACGTAAGATCATTGTTGTACATTGTTTCAAAAGGCGAAGTATATTGCCCTGCTGTGAGAAAAAGTCACAGTCATCAGTAGGGATCTAGGATCATCTTTTAAACAGGAGGGGGGAGGGAGATTTTTCGTTGGGTTTATAGTTGTGCAGAGCTGTAGATATTGAATATTTTGCTCTTTTTTGTGATACGTTGTTTTTCTAGACAAAACTTGCTGAGTTAAATAAGAGTTCTGTTGGGCTAATTTTGAAGCGTCGTCTAAATCAGAGAGGCAGATCTTCACCAATGGTACTTAAGATCTCCAACAATGACAAAAGTTTCACCAATGATAACATTTTCACCAATCATAATACTTTCACCAATGATAACATTTTCACCAATGACAAAACTTTCACCAATGATAATATTTTCACCAATGATAACATTTTCACCAATGACAAAACTTTCACCAATGATAATATTTTCACCAATGATAACATTTTCACCAATGATAACACTTTCACCAATGACAAAACTTTCACCAATGATAACATTTTCACCATTGATAACACTTTCACCAATGACAAAAGTTTCGCAAATGATAACATTTTCACCATTGATAACATTTTCACTAATGACAAAACTTTCACCAATGATAATATTTTCACCAATGATAACATTTTCACCAATGATAACATTTTCACCAATGATAAACTTTCACCAATGATAAAACTTTCACCAATGATAACATTTTCACCAATGATAACATTTTCACCAATGATAACATTTCACCAATGACAAAGTTTCACCAATGATAACATTTTCACCAATGATAACATTTTCACCAATGATAACATTTTCACCAATGATAACATTTTCACCAATGATAACATTTTCACCAATGATAACATTTTCACCAATGACAAACTTTCACCAATGATAACACTTTCACCAATGATAACATTTTCACCAATGATAACATTTTCACCAATGATAACATTTTCACCAATGATAACATTTTCACCAATGATAACATTTTCACCAATGATAACATTTTCACCAATGACAAAAGTTTCACCAATGATAACATTTTCACCAATGATAACATTTTCACCAATGATAACATTTTCACCAATGATAACATTTTCACCAATGATAACATTTTCACCAATGATAACATTTTCACCAATGATAACATTTTCACCAATAATAACATTTTCACCAATGATAACATTTTCACCAATGACAAAACTTTCACCAATGATAACATTTTCACCAATGATAACATTTTCACCAATGATAACATTTTCACCAATGATAACATTTTCACCAATGATAAAACTTTCACCAATGATAACATTTTCACCAATGATAACATTTTCACCAATAATAACATTTTCACCAATAATAACATTTTCACCAATAATAACATTTTCACCATTGATAATATTTTCACCAATGATAATATTTTCACTAATGACAAAACTTTCACCAATGACAAAAGTTTCACCAATGATAACATTTTCACCAATGATAACATTTTCACCAATGATAACATTTTCACTAATGGTAAATTTATGTTCAGTGTAAAAATACTTTGAGTGCATCTAATTATTTATTATTTTTTACAAAGTCTCCTCAACACATGATAAATGTGTAAAGAAATTCTATTTGATTATTTTAATATTAGCGTCAGGCTTCTCCCCAACGAGAGCGTGTCGTCCAAGTGGATAGTGATGAAGATGATGATAAAATGGATATTAGTGAAGACAATCGTAGTTCATGCAGTGATGAATCTTTGGAAGGAAATTTAGACGTTGATGATGACATAATCATAGAAGAAATTTCGACTTCAAAAACCGTTAAAGAGTTGAGTAAGTGTTATTAAATGTTCTTTTAGATGTATGTAAGCCGCATGCCAAATTATCAAGATTTTTTCGTATTTTACAGTACCAGCACACAGTAGAGATACACGCGAAACCTTGGAGACATTTGTTAACAATTTTGAAGAAAGGTAACTCATTATGCAGTGTTTGAATTTTGAAATAAATTTTTACATGTCTGTCGATGAATTGTTTATGAAACTAAGATATGTTACCATAATAATAATGACTTTACTTTATAAGATTGTAAATGATGATCGTCCAGGTTAATAAAGTCCTGAGAAGGACTGTTTTTGTTGTTGTTGACTGACGTTTCGACAACCTTAGCGGTAGTCATCTTCAGAGTCAAAAAAAAATTTTTTTACTTTACTTTACTTCAGAATAATAAAAAGTGTAATAGTTCTAAGTTTATATGAACATTGATGTATCTATTGAAGCCAGTTTCTCTTACAATATGACCTGCATTATCATGTGCCACTTTCTTTAAAAACTGTTGTTGACAATGGCGATAGATTGTATCTATATACTGTTTTTTGGTCCTCACATGCAATCATTGAATATAGTTCATAAATCATAGGCTAAATTATTTATTACAACATTACATGTTGAACATGTTTAACATTGCAACATATTGAAAGCATGCATGACAAGATAAGATAAGAAAAAATGGTGTATAAGTAAAAAATGCAATGGTTATATGATCCTTGCATCTCTACTTAAGATTTTTATTTATTTAGATACGGCCATTGTCATCCTCATTTCTACATTGGGTCATTTAATGACGTTTTAGAGGAGGCAACTATGAAAAATGCTAAAGATGTTTGTAAACTCATTGAAATTTCAACTCTTTTATAATTATAGAATCATTCGTTTCACATTTCATCTTGGATTCTTTAAATCTCTTGCCAAAAAATTACCGAAACTATTTTGTAAATACCGAAAGTATTTTGTAAATGATTTTTTTCTTCCATATTTTTCAGAGATGGCCATTATTGTTATATTTGCATCATGATTCCAGTATATTGACTAATGTATTTTGTAGGTGAGGTTTTCAATTTTTAACGTCAATCCAAACAGCATATATTCCTTTCCCTCCCCCCCAGTTTTTATGATGTCATTATTTGTAGAATATGTGTGCAAATGCGTTTTTTTCATATATTTAGTCAAATATTATGCGACGAAAATATCGTATCATACGTTAGTGAAAATTTCTTATGCTGGGCGTGGGATGTGTCACATGATACAAATAAAACGTTGTAAGTATTTAATATACATTACATACTGCAAAGTTCAGTCAAATATGATTTGATAGTTAACAAGGTTAGGTAGTTTTGCTATGTCCATGTCTGTTGTGCATAAAATAAAACTAAAGAGAAAGTAAAATTAGTATATATTAATAGATATTTTTGTTTAGATTATACGACATTGTTACGCAGAAAATCGGCAGTAGTGTTGCGAGCACTGTTCGTAGATTCAAGGCTGATCAATATCCTTTGGTTGTTGTCATTATGAAAAATAGATCCTCTTTAGAAGTTTCTGCTGTTCTTCAAGGTATCGCTATATCTTAAATATTTACTGAATGATTTGTAATTGTTTAACTCAAAACTGCTTTTTTTCTGTTGGTCGAGTGATCACCATGTTTGCGCATGTAGCTCTTTCTTAAGATCATATAGTGTTCTCTTCGCTCTATCTCTTTCTTAGCATCATCTCACGCGGTTCGTGAACTTCACACTATATTGTCTTATCTGTTAGGATTATATAGAATTTTTAGAATCATAAATTCGTTTTTTGAGGATGATGCAACACTCTTTAGGTCTTTGATGTATCATACAATGTTCTACATTATCTCTTTAGGTCTTTGATGTATCATACAATGTTCTACATTATCTCTTTAGGTCTTTGATGTATCATACAATGTTCTACATTATCTCTTTAGGTCTTTGATGTATCATACAATGTTCTACATTATCTCTTTAGGTCTTTGATGTATCATACAATGTTCTACATTATTTTTTTTCTGTTGAAGGTGTTATCACGGTCAACGAAGTCATGACGACATTACTCAATGCTCGTGAATTATTTGAAGAAAGTCAACGTGCTGATATGAGAGAAGAGGTTTGTTATTTTCATGTAATTCAAGGTTTTATGGATGAACATAGCTTTTTTTGAGTAAAGACTTCCAAAGCAGGAAGCTGTTTCATTTTTACGTCCAAGTTTTAGATTTATTTTCAAACATTGCAACTTCTTTAAAAAAACATTCTCGACCATCTAAAATAAAGAAACGTTTTCATTTTATAAATTTTTGTCTTTAAAGCAAGAACGCGATGCCCGTGAAGCTGTTAAACGAGAACAAGATGAAGCTTATCAGGAATCTTTACGTGTTGACCGTGCTAAGGTACCATTAATCATGATTTTTTCTAATTTCATCTCGACTTATAAAATACGCCATAAATATCAGGAGGAAGAACGCACAAGACAAGAAAACGAAGCTTTACGAGTAAAGAAAGAAACAGAGGAGAAAGCGTTTCTCGAAGCCCAAACTAAACAGGTTAAGTACATAAACATTAATGAAGTAACTGCTTAACAACATTGTCGTATGACCTTAGTTGTCACTTGCTTGAATAGTAAACACATCAGTTTACATCAAAGTAAATATATCAGTATACTCCATTCATGTTTTCTTGGACGCATTACATTTCATATGTTCTGTTTGTTTTTGTATGTTGTCGCCTGAGATTCTTTGCAGTTTATAAACCTATGGCAGTGGTTATTGAGACCGTATACAACAAAAAAAATAAATAAAAAAAAACAACAAATTTTTAATGTTTTTTAATACGTCACTTTTCTAGGCCCAAATAAATTCACTTGAAGAGCACGTACCTGAAGAACCAGGTCCTGATTGTTTGGAGCCAATTTCTATTTTAAGATTTCGTATGCCAGACAACGAAACCATCACTCGACGATTTCTTGCCAGTAGTCCGCTTAAGGTAAGGAAAGCAAAGAGAGGTGAGTCGAGGGAGGATATACGTAGGATACGAGAGTATAGCGAAGGATACAACCATGGTAATGGTGTATTGTTTCTTTGATATTTTCTACTAATGCCTTGTTTGTTAATGAGTGATTTACCCTGCAAAACATGAATTGTTCACCATTCTATATCTGCGTGTGTTTATTCAGTAAGTAATGAAACAACTGATGCTAACAAATTCAATAAGTTTATATTTTCTATCATAAGGTTGTTCTTATATTTGTTCAATCAAAAGGATATTTGGAAGAGCAATATGCAGTCGTAACAAACTTTCCAAGAAAACAGGTAAATTATTACTTTTTGAAAAAAAATTGATAACTTTATACTGAAAAAACCTTTCCCCCAAATACATAGTTTGCTTTATAAAAATACAAATGTTAAAATAAGATTTTGTTTTCATTCATCAAATTAGAATTCATGATCGGCTGCGATCGTGGTTGATGTGATTGCCTTTGTCTGGAATTGCAATTGAATAAGTTTATTCGTTTGTTTCCCCATTACTTCATGTTCGTCAGTTATTGACGATGTAAAAATATCCTTGCTTTTAGAAAAAACTCTCAAGATTCCAATTAGTATTCGAATTTTATTTTGAATTAATGTATTTTTCTATGCAAAGCTATTCGATTATTTTTTAGTTATCCAACTTGGATCCAGATAAAAGTTTACAGTCTTTGGGTTTGTATCCCCAAGAAACACTTTTTGTTGAAGAAATTTGATCAACTTCATGATGTCAGAAATTAATAATGTATTTTGTTCGCTCGTGCCATAGTAAAACATCTTATAGTAAAATACCCTATGGTAAATGGTGATATAGAAATTCTGTAAAATATTTTCTTACATGGCAATATTATCTTTATGTCAAAAGATATTTGAATATATTTTATTCAATTAAGAATTTCCATTAATGATTTCAATTATGCATTAAAACAAGGCCTCCTTTCTGGTTTTTTTTTGATTTGTAAAACTTGTCAATTTTTTCTCTTGGAACGAGTTGTGAAGTGCAAATGAAAAAGACTTCATACTAGTTACTTTTGATTTAAAAGGCATCCTGAAAACTTGTATTATGTACGTATCAATGAACTCAACAACAACTGGAAGGCTAACTCATTATAAACAAACCTAGTCTTGTTTGATGCCAAATAGAAGCTGATTTGCCGCTTCGCGTGTATCTCGCGTGGACTGTTTTACTTGCGTGACGGATTGTTTTGCAAAAACTGCTAACTTGGGAATAGAATGCTAGCCTAAATGCTTTATTTTTTTCAAAACCGTTAGCAAAATTTGGTTATTAATGTGTTAAGATGCATTGTGAACGTTCCAAGACATGTTTTGTATACGGAACGCTGTATTATATAACACATAAAAGGGAGAACTTGCTTCGAAATATGAATTTCTCATTTGTCGTCGAAAGACCAAAAATTTAAGATAAAACTGATAACAGGTAGTCTGTATCTTTGAATGTGTGCAAAATACACACAATCCACTTAATATAACATGTTTCATAACAATTTTATTGCTTTCAAAGTTAGACTTGCTTTGTAAGAATTTCACATGTTCTTTTTGTAATGTGTGAAAGTGATGATTTGAAATTTTGAATTGTGGGTGATTGTTGGTTCTTGTCATTTACTTCTCCCACTTCTTAAGAACTGGTGGAAGATTTGACATGCATTCATATTTGTGTATTGAGCATTTTATCAGCAAGTTCATGCTTATAAATAAATAGCCAAGTGTACACTATGACAAGTATTGCTAATATAACCTGCTCTACATAAATGCTAAAAAGGAACCCTCATCCTCAGTGGTTTGAACCAGGGTTTAAAAATGATTATAAAGCAAGCAAAGCTATATCATGTATCAAAATTTTATAATATATCATATTGATTGTAAAATTAGATTTTTTCTTGTAATACAGATAATGATAAATGTATTTGTAATATATTAAATTTTAGGATGTGTTTAAAATCTTTGGTCATATTTGTGAAAATATATGATGATTCTATAATATTAGACTAATAATCTTTTTCATACTTGCATTACAGTACAATTTTTACTTAAGTGTTTCAAAAGTTATGAATATGGAGTGTCAATTGTGTTTTTGTCTTTTTTTTAAGTGGGTATTGACCCTTTTAACTCTTTAATGGTGCAATTAATAATAACACAATAATATGGCATAACAGTTTTTTTAAAACGAACTCAAAATATTTTTTGCTAACTTTTTGAAATATTTTGCAAAGTGTTTTTCTTTTTGTATACGCTCTAAACTTTCAAAATGGACTGGGGCGAGCTAATTTTGCTCGGAAACACAAAAATTACCGAAAAACAGCGTTTTTTGCCCTGACAGCTTCATTTTCAAAGATTCAAACAATATTATAAGGATAGACAAGTGTGTTTTACATCCTTTTAATGAAAAAAAACGAGGGGTGTCAGTTTTGTATTCAAGTTATAAGGCATGTTTTCACGTGCCAAAACAAAGTTCGCTTTTCATCCTTCTAAAAAGAAGCTTAAACATGTACAAATGTCTTTCAAACTTGTTTTATATTAAAGTCCAAACACTGTTTAAGGTTTTTAGACATTAAGCTGGCTCGAAGACCACTGTTTTTTGCAAAAAATCAGGCAATTTCGAAGTGATGTATTTCGCCTCCGTACCCTCAATGGCGGCGCTCATGCAGGCTTCAAAGATGGCGTCCAAGTTAGCCTTCCAGTTGTTATGGAGTTCATTGGTACATCATCAACCCTGACTATATGAACGGCTAAGCAATTTTGGATAAGAGTTACTTCAATTGCATGAATGTTTGCTGAAAATTATTTGTGATCTGAGCAAGTGTTGTAAAATACTGACGCTGGCATCTCTAGCTTACGTCAACATTAGGGATTTTTGTGTTCTTTTAATTTATATATAATTTAAACGTAATACGATTGACATCAAAAAAATTTCTTTTCATTTTAGCCTTTTTTGATAGGTATATAATACTTTCAGGCCTCTCTTGACAAGACTAACCCGTGCGGTGTCCGGGTTTAGAATAGCACCGAGGTGACCCTGCCTGTCGTAAGAGGCGACTAAAAGGAAGTGATGTCATCAAGCCTTAAATATCTGTTCCAAATGTGAAGTTTTTTAAAAGGATAAACACTGGATGTAAAGTAAGAAAGGGATGTCTAAGTTACTGCAACTGTTAGTAAAGAAAGCAATCTGGAATATTGGAACATTCATGGAAAGATGTACAATTAACGTTCTTTATATGTGTAGGAGATTACGTTATACAGAAACCCCAATAGATATTTGGGAAATGCATTATACTTTTTATTCAAGATATCACGACAAATGGAGTAGGAGCTATTCTCCAAAATGCCTTGTCGAAAAAACAGAACTGAAGCTGATTCATAGAAATTAGTTATGGCAAGCCGCCTTTGAAAGAAGAGTATTTTGCGTAAAAGATAGAAAACATGATAAATTACATTTAAAAGAAAAACTTATATAGTATAAAACAAATTCCGAAGAAGCAAGATATCTTGAGATTGCAAAATATGCATCAAAACAAGACGAGAAGTGAACTGTAAATTTTCGACTTTATTTCAAAGTCGCCCTCAGACAGAATTCAATAATTAAAGATAATGAAAGTGGACTGGTCAATCCAGGAAAGTTAAAGCGCATCGAACCTGCACTCATAATGACGTCACTTGTATTAGTAAATGATTATATATTTCGTTTGTGTGACTCAAAAACTGCGACCTAAAGATGTTTCATTGAACAAAAATAACACGAATCAAAGACATTATACAATTAAACAAAACTTTCCAAAATGCTTGCAACATAAGACAAATATTAGCATAATAGTCAATGTATGAAATCACACTGCATAGTAATAAAATATAATAAATTACAATGTTTTAAGTTTTTTCAACAACCGAAGGCTGTTTTTAAGCGGTAATATGATCAAAAGATGATAAATATTGCAAGGCCGCTTCATAACAAAATGTGTATTGTTCAACAGTCTCCACCATTTGAGGACGTTGCTCACGAAGTTCACGAACTGTTTGCAACAAATCAACGACACCTTCAGCACGCATGCGCTCAACTACAATGCTCAGTGCACAAAATACACCGGTTCGTCCAGAACCAGAGCTAAATTTAAAATAAAACAAAGCATATATGAAGAAATGTCTTTCAAAATCCCCTCAAAAAATTTACATGACTACCGCTAAGATTGTGGATACGTCAGTCAACATTAACAACAACAGTCCTTCTCAAGACTCTATTAACCAGGGCGATCTACATCTACAAACATGTAACGATACTACCGGGTTCAAACCATTTACTTCATTTACTTTGAAAGCTAATTCCTTGCACGTAACTGAAATGCAGGAGGTTGGAGTCTGAAGCACAATTATATTGTAAAGTTGCTCACCTGCAGTGCACAACAACAGGTCCTCTGGTTCCATCATTATTTCTTGCTATATGTACTTGACCAATAAGATCTAAAATAGCTTTATAGCTTTGGGGTTTTCCACGATCGGGCCATTTACGTAACTGAAATAACTTTATAAGACTTGGACTGGAACTCTGAATGAAAACATGGAAATAATTTAGAAAGTTTTTTTAATGAAATGTTTAAATTTACCGAAGATGAAGAAGAACAATAATTTAGTGGAACTATTGGATAAGTTGACTAAGATTGATTTCTCTCCTACCATCATATCGTTGACTTTGAATTGTCTCAATGTAAAATTTGGAGTTTCTTCTACTGAAACTGGATCAACGATGTAAAAATGGTATTTTGATGAGTGTTCTGAAGGCCAGTACTTGGCCGATATCTGAAGGACACAGAAAGATAAATTATAAATCCAGTTAAAATGCTTCCTAAATACATCACAAAAGACAAATTAATAAGAAAAACTAATTATGTTTTGTTTTGAATTATATTTGATGTGCCTACACAGTTCGAATTTCAGAGTTTTATCGCATATACTTATAGAATATGATACACAAGAACTCATTTTCTCCAAAGAATAAGTTCTCTAAGCAATGTAACTCATCATGGTCATGCAGTATAGACCATTTACTGTATACTAACAATGGAACAACAATTTTTACTACATAGAACACTTGACAAATTACACATTTGAAAGAGTTCAATATAAGAAGCAGTGACCAAATCAGCTCGCCTGACTGCAACTTGACTGAAGTCGTCTGCTACACAACTACAACTGTGACTACAATGGGGCATGCGCTTAAATTGTAACGTCCAGAATTGAAGGGACTTTATTTAAGAGCTTTTTTGATCATTAAAAACCCCAAATAATATAGCAACACTTATTCCTATTTGCACACTCCATTATGTTAAAACCAATTATGTTTTTATTGTTAAACTGTTTGATTTATTCTGGGAAACAGTAGCGGTCACATGACCACAATACAGTGTTAGCCTTGGTCAGAGTAAGTAAGAAATAAGATTAAATACCTCGTTGTCAGCGTCTGTCTCAGAAAGCATCACGATTATACAACTTTTCTTTTCCATGATCATACGCCAGAAATCATTCACAGTTTCCTCGAGTGGATTTTGTGCAGCGATGTATGTATGACGATGTTTGTAGCCCTAACGGAAAACGAAATATTCACGTTTCACACTCTTAGACTTGAGCACCTCAGATTTAAACGCAATTGAAAATTTTCCTATCAGAAAATAAATGACAGAATATGGAAGGTACAAAAACTAGGTGCCGTTTTTCAAAGCATTCTTGAGTTTAATGAATACAAGAAAAGTGTAACCCTTCATCTTCATGCAGTTCTGGTCATTATTCTGTGTATTCTTAAGCTTGAAAAAACTTGAAAATACGATTATTTTACTTTATATCGTAACTTACATCAATATAACTGGCATTAATATAGTTTGATCCATCCATTCCACGTATGGGAAACAGATCAACTCGTGAGTGTTCGTCTATTATAAATTAAAACAGAAAAATAGTGAATATTTGAAGTAATGAAAGTGAAAATTCATAGTATAGGCCGATAAGATAAACACAAACAAGAAAGAAAGGAATACCAAGGAAAAAGAATCAAAAGGAAGAAAATATGAAAAAAGATTAAGAAGACAAGTAAAGACATATGAAATAAGTGAAGCAATTAGCAAAAGAAGAACAAGATTATATTTAATGTCCATTTTGTGTTAATTTTTGAACCACTTCGTTCAAATCTTTTCTTAATGGCAACTTACATGGAAGTTTCGTGAAATCTCTATTCTTTGATTTATTTATAGCGAGTGCAGCCGTATTAAAGCGATGCTGATGAACATTAACGCTGAGTTGCTGAAGAAAAAAATAAATGATACAATTATATAAAATAATCTGTCTTTCATCAAGTGTGTGTTCTAACGCATGGCTGTAAATTTAATTTATATAAGCTGGTGAACAAACCTTGAAGTGTTGTTCAATGCCGGTTGTTTCATTTTCACCAATTTCATTCAGTGTTTTGTAATATTTGGAAAGATGAGATATATCGACTTCAGTATTTGAGAATAAAACTGCTTCAAGGAGTGCTTCGTGGATAAAAACATATTGTTCCTAAGTAAAATACATTAATGTAAAATAATTGAATTTTATTCTTTCTGTACCACGTCAAACCAGTTTAGAATATCACGAATTTTCATACAAGTCATTTATTGTTACAGTAACACTGTTTGTAAATCATGGTTTAATAATTGTTATCAAAAATAAACACTTGGATTAACATCAGGGGCCGGTTGCACAAAGCCTGGATAACGTTATCCATTGGATAGCAAAAATTTTCAAACTTATAAAAAAGATGTTTATATTTTTCATACGACAAAGAAATTTCGTAACCTTCGAAACAATATTTTTATTTCAGGGATTGCTTAGTTCGAATCTTATATATTTTATATTTTTTGCTTTTTAAAAGGTTTTATAAAAGTTTAAAAATATTTCTATATAATGGCTAACGCTATCCAACCTTCGAGCAGCCGCCCACTGATCAATAGTCATTAAATTGACTAAAACAAAGACAAAAACGTTTATTAAAGCTGCTCGGACTACATGAAGTATAAGAAAGAAAAAGTACATACTTCAGTTTGAACCATATGATTCCTTTGTGAACGAAGATAGGTCACATGACCATAAATATCAACTTTTTGATCCATTCGTATTTTCTCCAACATTGAATCAATGACAATAAATACGCCAGTTCTGCCAACTCCAGCACTTTATTAAAATGTAGCAAAGTACCATATTACATACATATATGTTATTTACCGACCAGGAGGTCCGTACGGAAAAATATTTCACGAGGTCTCAAAAGTACTTTGTCTGAGAGTAAAATTCCTCTCGCAGGGATAACTACCATCTGAATACACTATGCTTTCTCGTTGAACAATTTACATCGCTTTTAATTTCATTTAAATTTCACTTTGTAAACATATAAATTACGAAAAAACTATCACTTGTTGACCACGGTCAAAATATCGTAAAAGCTGCTCGCCGCTGCAGCCACCAGACTGCGGGAAATCAAAAAATATCACTTTGCAGGCATGAATAAAAAATAAATATAATGCATGAAAACACTGAATGCAAAACATACAATAGAAACCAGAGAAGAAGATTATACTCGAGGTAACCTTGGTGTTTTTACCCGTGTAACATAAATCATTTGATTAGTTAACCTTGGTGTTTTTACCCGTGTAACATAAATCGTTTGATTAGTTAACCTTGGTGTTTTTACCCGTGTAACATAAATCATTTGATTAGTTAACCTTGGTGTTTTTACCCGTGTAACATAAATCGTTTGATTAGTTAACCTTGGTGTTTTTACCCGTGTAACATAAATCGTTTGATTAGTTAACCTTGGTGTTTTACCCGTGTAACATAAATCGTTTGATTAGTTAACCTTGGTTTTTTACCCGTGTAACATAAATCGTTTGATTAGTTAACCTTGGTGTTTTTACCCGTGTAACATAAATCGTTTGATTAGGTAACCTTGGTGTTTTACCCGTGTAACATAAATCGTTTGATTAGGTAACCTTGGTGTTTTTACCCGTGTAACATAAATCGTTTGATTAGTTAACCTTGGTGTTTTTACCCGTGTAACATAAATCGTTTGATTAGTTAACCTTGGTGTTTTACCCGTGTAACATAAATCGTTTGATTAGTTAACCTTGGTGTTTTACCCGTGTAACATAAATCGTTTGATTAGTTAACCTTGGTGTTTTTACACGTGTAACATAAATCGTTTGATTAGGTAACCTTGGTGTTTTTACCCGTGTAACATAAATCGTTTGATTAGGTAACCTGGGTGTTTTACCCGTGTAACATAAATCGTTTGATTAGGTAACCTTGGTGTTTTTACCCGTGTAACATAAATCGTTTGATTAGGTAACCTTGGTGTTTTTACCCGTGTAACATAAATCGTTTGATAAGTTAGTTCATCAAAGATCTTACCTGCAATGAACGACAACAGGTCCTACATCAGGAGGATTGGCAAGTCTTACTTTTCTTATAAAACATAACAAAGAAGTGGAATAATACGGTACACCATGATCTGGCCATGCCGTGTATTGAAACTGTTTAATTTTTTTAAATTGCCCAACAGTACCATCCTAAAAAATTTGATGAAAGCAACTTTAACAAATGACAAATATCGATAAGGGGAAGTACTAAAATTAAACAAGTTGATCGAGCTACAAAATAATTATCATTTAATTTGATGCGCAGTTCCATACTCACTTTATGTAATCTGAATGTTCGGACCGTATAATGAGCCAATTCCGTGGTTTCCAATACTACTACAGTTATATTTCCAAATTTCTCGGAAGATTGGTTTGGCCAGTACTGATCACATTTTCTCTAAAAGAACAACAGATCTTTGTGAAATTTTTACATTTATTCACATGAAAGAAGAATCTATCACCACTTACACGACTTCTTTCTTGAAGGTTCGTCATCATAACAATAGTTCGGCTATCTTGCTCCCAAATCATTTGCCAAAAATCGTTGATTGTGTTTGTAAGTGGAGCTGAAGGAAATCACAACTTATTTCATAAAAACATTGAAACAAGTAACATAGCATGAACAGGAGTTGACGAACCTTGTGTGGCTATGTACGCATTTGATTTTCTATATCCCTAAAGGAAACGAAAGTCCTTTCATGAGCTAATAATACATGCATATGTATATTTTTATTCTTCTCAATCCTGTTCAAAAAAGCACAGAGAGGAATAGCAGGGATGTATAAGTTAGGAGTAGAGAGGGATAGCAGGGATGAGGGATGTATAAATTAGAAGTAGAGAGTAATAGAGTGGATATAAAGTTTGTTTTTTTAGTAGAGAATGATAGTCAGAGTAGGAACGTAGTGTATGAAATTACTAAAAGAATTTACAATTACTTACAGCCATGTAACTTGCATTTATGTAATCTGAATCTAAAAATCCATTTGTATCCTGCAACGTGACTCTTGTATGATCATCTAAGCAAATTAAAATACATTAAGTATTAAATAAGGGGTCAAAACATGCAAATACGTCAGCAGGAAGAGTCATCACGTGCCAATACACGTCAACAAAAGGGGTCATCACGTGCTAATACAAGTCAGCAAAAGGAGTCATCACGTGCTAATGCACGTCAGCAAAATGAGTCATCACGTGCTAATACGTGAACAACTTACAAGGAACAATGTTCGGATAACGATTCTTGGATTGATTCAAATGACGAGCAGACGCTTCAGATACAAATGTCATACCAGGATCAATGGACTAAAAATAAATGATTACATCACGACAGAACAAACATAAAGTACACTTGTAACGTAATCATAGAAATTAAAAGTAATCTTAAATCATTGCGTGTAAATAGAAAGGGAAAAAAATATGAAAGTCAGTGGATTTCTCATAATTTCTCTTCGTTGTAACTAGCTACTTCAGACATCCAAAATGACTTCAAACATCCAAAATGAAAATCATTCCGTCGAATGCGGCCCTCTTTCGTCACAAGCAGTCCTCCACAGTCGCATGCAGTCCTCTATGGTCACAAGCAGTCCTCCTTGTTCGCATGCAGTCCTCCACAGTCGCATGCAGTCCTCCTTGGTCACAAGCAGTCCCCCTCAGTCGCATGCAGTCCACCTTGGTCATATATAATACAATTAACATGAAATAACATGAACCTCATATTCTCTGGTGAAGCGGTTGTCTGAACGTAATTCGTCTATAGTAGAGCGAAGATTGCAAACATCAATTGGGGGTGTTCACGCATTCCTAAAAAACGAGAAAATTCATGTTGAAAAATTTTATGGATGAAAAAGACCTCCATAGATTTTCTTTCTTGTTTCAATTCAAAGAGTAAGTGTACCGTGCAATCATCTCAAATGTATTTCTAATATCCCTAGATGTTCATATATAATCGTAAAATACAACATAGTTCAAGTAGAGACCTGACCTTCACTTGCTAAATTTAATCGCTGTAATTCAACTGGATCTTTAGTTGTCATCATCATAGGTAATTCTTCATCATTCACTGTTTCTTTCAGAGATTTAAGTCCATTTCTACGTCGCTTTGCACGCCTAAACACAATAACAAAAAAAGAGAACTTCAGCGTTTGTATTTTCTACAAAATAACGTTTTTATTTAACTGTTACACTGCACTCTTAAACAAGAAACATACCTTCGACACAAAAGACATGCAAGAACCAAAACAATCAGAACAATCAAGACGCCTAATATTGGACCAAGAAGCCAAATACTAAGACCATTATTATTGTTATCGCTCTCCAAAGCACTGACGACCACAGCTGAAAGATGTATCAATAAATAAGAATATTTTACAATAGCTGACTCATCATCAAAAAAAGTATATAATTTGTATTTTAACAAAATATCATAAAAAATATCTCAAAAGAATAAATAATTTGGGAATCATCGTTTAAGACTCGTTTTAAACGACTAAAAAACGACTATTGAAAACACGTCAAAAACACTTACGGATAAACTTTACTGGTTCCGTAAATTTTGTCGTCGTACCAAGACAAAGCTAAAATAAAAAAGTGTAAAATACAAATTTACATGAAACACAGAATTTGTCAAATGTACTGTAATCATCACGAAACATTGGTTGTTAAAATGACATACACACGTAAATGCCACACGAAATGGCATCGCGCGCGAACGCACGATGTTTGTATCGTTTACACTGACAATGTACATGAATGCGTTCAATATCATACGACACGTTAGTCATCAGACAATACACGTGTATTGTCATACAGTGAGTAAGTATGTTTAAAAACAACAGCTGATGATAACGATAGTTATTACAATGTACAAAATTTTAATTTTATCCGTAAAAATTACCCCTTTATCACTAAGTACGCAGGATTTGACAGAGAAAGCATAGTAATGACCATTTATTAATGGCTTGTTTATGTAACCATTCTCAATTTCTCCTCTGCCAACTTTAAACATCAAAGGCACCAGGTCAGCTTCGACTTTTGCCGTCACGTACACATTACTATTATGCATGCTTTCATCCACAGTTCGTCTTGTTCGCGAGCTTTGAATTTCGTTAAGATTTTTCCTTGCTTCCGATAAAGTCTTACCAAGACTAGCCACATTGATCAAATAATGACTAAAAATCCAGTAATAAATGAAACATTTATTCAGTGGAAACATCCATTTGAAAAATATATGTGCAATTTACATCCACTCCAGTATCATAAAACAGTTGTAAACATCTTAACTAACGAATGATTGAAGTCTTTTAAGTTAAGTAATGTAAATGTGCAAAACCTAACTTAACGAAGAGACAGGTCAATAAACAAGTTTTTTAAATGAGTGAATAATTAATAATGTGTATATAAGAATTCAAAAAAGGTGGAGGGGAGACGACAAGACTTAACATGGTTACTGTAGATAAATAGATATCACACCTGATTATTCCATTTATATTGGATGCAGCAAATAAATATATTGGAATGTACTCCTCAGTGATGGCACTTCTTGAGATATTTGGTGACGAAAATACAGGTGAAGCTCCAACATCTGTCTTAATTTTTATCGTCTCTACTTCACTCACCCTACTTGAAGTACCCTGAGATGCTACAGACACAATGTAATTTGTGTTGGGCTCGAGATTTTTGAGAGTAAGCCCACAACATTTCACCGTTCGCACTTCTTTATCAAAAGTTTTTTTGATTAGTTTCTTATCGCCACCAACAAATGATTTTTTACCTTGAAATGTTACCTAAAGAATATTTCACAAAAAATTAACGTTCATTAACAACTTTCTTCATGAGAAAAAAATGCAACACGTTAAGTTCTAAATATTATGAGAAAACAAGATATCCAAGATCTTTTTCCATCTCAATTTAACAAGATTTGAATGTCTGACAAATCACGATTACTTTATGTATAAAAAAAACATATTCGCGCCATATTGCTGCAATCAATACAAATCCATCCAGATCATCTTAAGTTGAAATAAATCTAGAGATGATCTTTACTGAATAAAAATTTAGATTTCTTCAATAGATTATCGACCGATAAAACATCCTTTACAATTACCTTATAACTTTGTACGGCAGTACTATCAATTGGACTCTCCCACAACACTTGAAATGAGTTGGATGTTATTCCATCAAACGACAATTTCCGAACTGGATGTAGTACTATATACAGAAAAAATTAATTGAAATAAACATAATCTTTTTTTGAATCTCGATGTCCAATGAAATTACTTACTGTCATATTTTAATGTTTTTCCTGCAAAAGGTTGACTAAATGGACCTTCCCCAACACTAGTTCTCGCAGCAATAGTAAACCAATATGTTGCATTAGGATAAGCAAGTTTTTTAATATACATTTCATTTTTGTTTTCTTTCAATTCATCGGATTTCCATATTTCAGCATTTTTATTTCCAAGAAAAATGTTTACTTTGTAACCAATAATAAGACCATTTGGTTGTAATGGTGACGTAAACCTTAGACGAATAACTTTAGTTCCCATTCCTCTGGCGTCGGTTATTGTTGGTGCATCAGAGGGAACTGGAATTGAACATTTGCTTTTTTATTTAATTAACAGGTCAACAATACGTAATAACTTATAAATGTTAAATTATCTCGTTTCCAGACCTTTCGCAATGTTTAATTTCTTACAATGCCATTTAAAATCAATATTTGAAACTCGTAAAACTAAGAACTATTTAAGAGGATATTTAAACTTTCGTCTTACCGTCTTCATTAGTTGTTACTGTAATTCTTTCTTTAGGTCCACTTCCTATCTTCGTTTTTGCAAGAATCCAAAAATGATAAGTTGTAAACGGTTGTAAGCCTTGTACAACATATGACCTTTTGGTTTCGGCAATAGGAACGGTCTTTATTTCAGAAAAACCAGTTTTTTCATAGCTCAACTCGTAACCAATAATTTTACCATTACGCTTCCATTTTCCTGGTGGTTTCCACGACAACAATGCCGATGTAGAATTTTTCGATTTCACAATAAAATTGATAGGAGCACCACTTGGTATCGAAGGATCCGTAAAATACATCACTGAACGTTCAGGTGACCAGCCAGCGTCGTTCTTTACAGAAATTTTAAAAATGTACCAAAGACCATGACCTACATGAATGAAAGTCATAAGAAAATGTTTTCACAACAAGACTGGCAAGTACTTTTACAGGAAAACTTCTCACAGTAATGAATGAAATTCTTCATTGAAGAAACTTTTGGCAGTGGAAAAATCCAATGTTTATCTCTGTTTCTATCGATACTTACCGATATTTGTAACATTGTATTCGGTAAGAGTAGATGGGAAAACCTTTTCAACGTAGTGCAAATCTGTTACATTGGTGATTTTTTCGATATCTTTAGCATATTTTAACTTAAAATTCTGAATGTTATCAGCCTTGCTCGTCCATTCAAGAGCAAATCCAAGTTGTGGCGACGAAATTTTTTTGGAAAAAAGAATGGGCGGTAATGGAGGAGCATCTTTTGTTTTACATGTAACGAGATCAGTGTACAATCCACGACCTTTTGACGAACGAGCAGCAACAAGAAATTCATAATACTGCTCAGGTATCAGTTGAGTAATCACTTTGTGCTATAAAAAAGTGAACGAGAATTGTTTTATCAGTTATTGCAGTTCATAACCATCCTCCGTATCTCTCGAAAAATAAATAATTGTGGGAGATGTGGAGTATTGTTCTTTTAGAAAACTTTTACATACGTACCATAATGCGTGCTGTGAAGTGCATTTTTGTATATTTCTTATCATGCGGTTTACGTCGATATAACAGATTAAAACCAGTCAAGTTTGCACCAAACGGTGGTGATGGAGCCTCCCACGTGACGAGTATAGCTGTCGAGTTGATTGCCACGGCTGTTAAATTTTCAGGGCGTTTTGTTGGAACTACATAGAAATAGGAGATTTAGAAAATGAATACGATAATATTACTCTCGTGTAGAAAACACAGATTAGACAGTTACTCTACTATTGTTGAACTTAGTTTGTAGCTATACATACGACAGCCTAGTATTGTTAATGACATTGAGACATATACTTACTGGTTTCGTGAGTGGTCACAAAAAATGGCATTGAAAATGGTCCTCGCCCTTTTGATGTTTTTGCAGCAATCTCAATATGATATTTTGTAAAAGGAAGGAGACTAGAAACTGTAAAGAAAATCTCTGAAGTATTCAAGGACTGTAAATTTTCACCCACGATTGAAAACTTATATCGAATTTCGTATCCAGTAATGTCGCCATTTCTGTCCACAAGAGGAGGAGGCAGCCATGAGCATTTCACACTACGTTCATCAAGTGCCTTGCAACTGAAATTACTTGGTGGAGCTGATGGCACTAAAAAATAAAGCAATAACACTAAAACGCATGCGCTGTAGCTGAGTTTGTATAAGCCCGTGCAAATTCAGTACTTGTGTCATTTCTTACAGTTGAAACACAAAAATATACCATCTGAGTCTTGCGTTTCTCTTTTTTTTATACAACATTATGACTTTTCACATTTTCGTAGACGACTAACATACGAACTTAGAATGAGAAAAATTTTTGCATTTCAAATTAAAAGATAAAGTCACCTGACTGCAATCACTCACCAGACTGTAAAGTTGTCACGTATTGAGGGTAAGACAACGGCCCTGAACCTGCATCACCTCTTGCTGCCACTGATATCTCATAAGTTGTCACAGGTCGTAATCCAGACACAGTTCTCTGTAACTCACGTGGAGATTGAATTATGATCTTATTATGTGGACCTTTTAACGACGTATTGTAATAAATATCGTATCCCACAATTCCTTGGTCACTCCCAACATAAGTAGGTATTTTCCACATAACCGTAAAACTACTTGATGAAACATGAGTGATTTGAACATCCTTAGGATCACTAGGCACTGTAAAAGACAAGCATTAATCTCATACAAACTGAACAATAAATAAAAACCAACATTGCTGCAGCAAAAAAGTTTTAAAATAAGCAATATTTAAAAGTACAGTGGCGTGTCAATAAGGCTTGAATTTAAAAACTGAATTTTTGTGAAATTTTGCCTTCCAGTTTAACAGTAATTTGACGTATCTATCGAGATTTGCTATAGTGCCATAAAATGATACTAGGTGGCAATGAAAAAATTGAAAATTATCAAGTAACTATCCTTAACATACCTCCTTTTAGTGTTTGTACTAGAAATGTTGGTGAGATAGGACCAGCTCCAGAATAAGTACTCGCTGATATTTTAACGGCGTAACGATGATTAGCAATCAACGAAGAAATCTTCAATGTGTTTTGATGCCGATGAGCAGTTTTGGCTTTCCATGAGTCAAATGGGGCTTGTATTTTTTCACTGTAATAAACTGTGTAGAAGCTAATGTGGCCATTAGGGTGAAGTGGTGGTTGCCACGATGCTTGAAAACTTCCGGTTTCTGTTGATTTTACTACAATGGAACTTGGTGGACTTCCAGGGACTAAATAAAAAGTAAAAATATTAAATAAATTCAACTGCCGGTAAAAATAAAAAATAAGTTTGTGTTCAACACGTTGTTTCATGTTATAATCGAAATACTTATTAAATATACTCAAATTTTATTTAAATCTACAGTAAAATTTCGCATTGTAAAGAATAAGATGCATTCAAGTCTGGGATAATGTGATGTATTTTAATTTTAGAGACCACGCGCTAAAGGATTCTAAAACAATTCTGAAATTTTTCTGAAGTGATGACACTCCGTTTACTCATTTTTTCCTCCAATGACAACATTACAGAAAATTCTTATTTTAAAAACAAAATTAATACGTATAGGAAGAGTATTTATGACGTACAAAATAATATTTTGAATGTCGGGAGTATTGCGTGTCAATATATTTACATGAATCAGTAAAAGAGGAAAGTTTGATGTATCTTTAAAAATTAATAACTCACTTCAATTCGGATTGAAAAAATATATTTTCTGTTCAATAAGAAAAGCTTGAACTTATAATCTTTCATACAAAAGTACTTTACAATAGCATAGCTATTTTATATGCCTTACTTGTATTAAAATTCGCGCAGTACTAGAATTCGCGCAGCGCTGAGTGCGCGAATTTTAGTCCTGCGCGAAATATAATCCGCGCGAAAAGCTTTGTAGTGTTATATGAGACATTCATTGTTGGTTATGCAAATCAGTTGTTTTATTAACGCATATACATATTGACATATGTTTTTAGTTATCCTGGTAACATTAAAAATCAAAAATGTCTTCATTTTCATCCTGTACAATTTCAGTCGGGATATTCTCAGGTTCTACGTAGTATTCCGTCACGAATGCCTGCATTTTGCTGTATATCCTAAAACTTGCATTGTTCTGCATGACTGTAAGGGTAATAGGAATCTCCAAGCCTCCTGGTGGTAATGGGGATCGACGAAATTTGATGTCACACACACATGCTTCTATATTGCCCCCATATTCAAAAAAGAACTTGCAAAATCGGGAAATCTCTCGAGGCAAATGTCCGACCAGTGACAATGGTTCAATCTTGCCTCTGATTTTGGTAAACAGACCAATAGCATATGGGTCGAATAGGTTTCCTGATTCTGGTTTTATTATTAACTGCTGGTTGATTCTTGGAGCCCAGATTTTTCTGTATTCATGAAAACCTTGTGATGCGCAAGCCAGAGAAAACGATGTCCCCTCGGGGCTCAGTTTCACTGAATTAGAATCATCCGTTACTGAATCGTGGGTTTCCTGAAGCAAGCAATCAGATGCGTAATTTTCTTTCACGTCGCACGCTTCACATAAAGCAACACTCGAACCACTTTTTCATCCAGGATAGTTTTCAGATGCAGGGATTGAACACTTGATTCCTCGGTTACAAACAAATGATTTGCATTTTAGACAAGTTTTTTTGTCAAATCATTGCACACGATGCAAATGCTTTCCATTTCTCCAACACAATAGTCAATGAGGAGTCACGTTTCTTTAGGTGTTAGATATGATGTTCTATTATTATTTTACTGACTGATTTTACTTCCTTATTAACTAATTGCCGAATACGTCAAACGTTTCCGCAACACATATTCTACCGTTCAAGTATTGCCAACAGAAAACATTGTGCGGGAAATCAACGCACATGGCTCTGTTATAATATTTCAAAAAGGTTTCCCAAGACGATATTTCGGTCGCGTCGTCTGACAGCAAATTAAATGCTGCCGAAGAAAATGCAGTAAAACAGCAATTATTTCTTGACGCTCCATAACCCAAGAAAAGGAGGGTCAAATATGGAGCATATGATGCTTTTCAACGAGCAGAAATTGCAAAATGGGGAACTTGTCAAATCGTACAATAAGGAACGAAAAGAGCGCACTGAACTCGAACAATTGCCAAGAAAACATCGTGGAGCAAAAACTTTGTTACCCGAGAACATCGATGAGAAAGTTATCGCCATGATCAAGAGCATGAGAACGGCCGGTTGTGTTGTCAATTACAACATTGCTTTTTCCATAGCGAAGGGGATAGTACTGGCTAATGATCGGTCTTTGTTGAAAGAAAACGGAGGAACCCAGAATTCCACTATACATGGTGCCAGTCAATTTTCAGAAGATTGGGTTTCAGTACACGTAGAGCAACAACTGCAAAACAACCCGTATCACCTGGCTTCTTAAAAGAAATTCGCTTCACGTTTCATCGTTTTATTAAGGAAGAGGTTACCGCTTATGACGTTCCCGACGATCTCATTATAAACATTGACCAGACCCCTCTCCCGTTTGCCCTCATCAGCAAGTATACAATGGACAAAACTAACGAGAAGTTTGTGCCGATCAGTGATAGCGCCGATTATCGCCAAATTACTGGAACATTCTCAGTCGCCGCGTCGGGAAAGTTTCTGCGAATTCAGCTAATCTACCAGGGGAAAACTGACCGGTGTCACCCTAAATTCAGATTTCCAAAAGAATTCCACGTTACCCACACGGAAAATCATTGACAAATGAAACGAAAGCAATTGAATTAGTCAATCGCATTCTTATCCCCTATATTAAGCAAATTAGAGAAGAGCTTGGTTTTCGCGCAACAAAACAATGGGTTTTGATCGCCGATGTTTTTAAAGCACATTGGACGGATGCCGTAAAGAAGATCATTTCCGACAATAATGGGAAGATGATACCTGTTCCCAATAATATGACATCATACCTGCAGCCCTTAGATTTAACGGTCAATCGCTCTTGCAAAGCTTTCCTTCGAAACCAGGTGCAAACTTGGTACTCAGAGCAAGTCCAAGCCCAAATAGAGAAAGGTATTCAACCTGATAAAGTTTCTGTTGATTTGAGAATTAGCGTGCTCAAACCACTCCACGCAAAATGGATAGTGCAGTTCTATGATTACATGCAATCGAACAAGGACATTGTCGTCAAAGGTTGGCAACGATCAGGTGTGAGCGCCGCATTGGAGGAACCACAACGAAAAGAGGATCCATTTGAACTGTAGCTAAACTTTTGTTTGACTTATAAAGTATATTGTTAGGCAATATCATTTATTACATTTTTTAGTTCTTGTTGGGATAGTGAACTCACGCTTTATTTTGAAGCCATTTTTGAGGCCACCCAATCGCTTTTTTGATGAATATTGAGGTATTTCTTAATAAAGAAAGCTCAATATAAATGCGTTAATTATTAATAGTTCTTTTGAACAAACCAAAAAGAACGAGCACATAAAACTACTTGCGCGAATTTAAAGCTGCGCGAATAATTGTCAACAAAGTGCGCGAAATTAAATCGCGCGAATTTAAAGCTGAGCGAAAATGAGTACGACTCGAATTTTAATACAAGTAAGGTATAATATAATAAATATATGGATTGTCATTGATCTTGGTGGAGTGTGACGATTCATTCTGTGGAAAACTCGTTTCTTTCTAATCTCTTTGACTTGGGAGGTCATGTTTAGACAGTTTATATTTTCAATCTTTATTCACAAAATAAGAAAACCTTCAACAACTTCCTCTATTTCTTGTCGAACGATTCGAGTACAGACCATTGGTGTTTTGAGTGTTAGTTCATTTGTTTTACCACTACAAGTGCTTCCTTGGACGCATGGACATTGATCACCCATGAGCTGTTTGAGCACGCTGCAACGATTTCCTTCAGCAATTAAACGTTTGCATCTGTTTTTTGATGTGCAACATTCTCCCAAGTTGCAATCAGCCGAGCTCGATTCACATCGTTTATTGCATCTCCTTCCGTTTATTGCTTCTTCATCGTTTACTGCTGCTGTTGTTATCGTGAGCGTTATGATGATTAAGATGAATGTATTCATTTTGCTTTTTATCTCTAAATGGCACTTGTTTACTGGTTAACTGCTATAGACTGAATGATGTCTTTGTGAAAATTGTTTGCCTTTTTATAGCAACTCAAATCAAAACATTTTCATCTCAAGTGCGTGACAGCTTGAGGATATATAAAATATTTACAAAACAAACAGACTCCTTCCTAGCGAAACACATGCCTCTCGCACGCGGAAGTTGCTACCTTACTTGTATTAAAATTCGAGTCGTACTCATTTTCGCTCAGCTTTAAATTCGCGCGATTTAATTTCGCGCACTTTGTTGACAATTATTCGCGCAGCTTTAAATTCGCGCAAGTAGTTTTATGTGCTCGTTCTTTTTGGTTTGTTCAAAAGAACTATTAATAATTAACGCATTTATATTGAGCTTTCTTTATTAAGAAATACCTCAATATTCATCAAAAAAGCGATTGGGTGGCCTCAAAAATGACTTCAAAATAAAGCGTGAGTTCACTATCCCGATTTTCAAGTTCTTTTTTGAATATGGGGGCAATATAGAAGCATGTGTGTGTGACATCAAATTTCGTCGATCCCCATTACCACAAGGAGGCTTGGAGATTCCTATTACCCTAACAGTCATGCAGAACAATGCAAGTTTTAGGATATACAGCAAAATGCAGGCATTCGTGACGGAATACTACGTAGAACCTGAGAATATCCCGACTGAAATTGTACAGGATGAAAATGAAGACATTTTTGATTTTTAATGTTACCAGGACAACTAAAAGCATATGTCAATATGTATATGCGTTAATAAAACAACTGATTTGCATAACCAACAATGAATGTCTCATGTAACACTACAAAGCTTTTCGCGCAGGACTAAAATTCGCGCACTCAGCGCTGCGCGAATTCTAGTACTGCGCGAATTTTAATACAAGTAAGGTATATAATAATAATTCGCATTTTTACAAGTTTATTTAAAATTTTGTTTACATGTAATACTTTAAACAGGCCATTATGAAGATGAAGCCACTTAATTCGCCTTCGGTGTACTTTGCCTCAAAGACTCGAAGGTCAGTGAAAAGGCAATAATTGGTTGAACAAAACAAACTAACGTCTGTTATTTAATTTTTCGGAAAGAGATAAAGGTTTTTAATACTTTGAAGGAATAAAAATCCTCTATACAAAAAAACATTCACAGTCATATTATAAAGAGAAGGAAAAGGGACAAATTTTCTTGAACGCGTCTATTACTAATTCTAAGGAAAGTATTTCAGTAAACTTATATCTACTTTTATTTGGAGCTAACGTATCTAAATATATCTACTTCGCCAGTTGACGCTTATTGCATTTTCGCGAGATCGACAGTTGTGGATATATATATATCTTATAGACTTTAGTGTTTTTACTATAACATTCATCAAGCCAAGTCATTTGTATAGTGACTATATTCTAAATTGAAACCCTCTTTCAACCATTAAATTATGAAATTTCAATTCATTTTTGAATAGAAAACTGATGTAAATAGATTTATCAGACTATTAGCTAATCGACTGCACACTCGCAATTTAATTCGTGATAGAAAAAAGCATCGCAATGTAATAAATTATCTCTTCTCTTACATTAAAATTTGTTAAAGCCTGCGCAACACGATTGCGAAGCTGTAATTCATTCATTTTCGTGTAAGAATTACATTCATGCCAGCCGCCATGTTCAAAAAGTCTGAAGGTGCAAAATACCTCGACTTTCGTATATGTTCAAAATTTACTTTGTAGTTTTTTAACTTAATTTGTTAACTCTAACTTCTACATTGAAAAAAATATCATGAAGTACAACGAAAGTTGAAAACAAAAATTTGAGAAAGCAATGTTTACAGCAACAGGAAATTATAAGATAAAGACAAACTTACCAGTTTCATCAGTTTGTGCACGCACAACTTTACTAGGTTTGCTTGAACCAACATAGTTACTGGCGAGTACTTGAAACTCATAATAGGTAAATGGAGTAAGATCTTTCACTTTATGTTTGTGCACAGGTTTCTCAGTGAACACTGTAGTCCAGCGTTTCTTTCTAGGTTTCCGATACTGAATGGTATGGTACTCTATGGTCGTTCTAACTTGACCATCTTCCCAAGTTAACGTTATTGAGTCGCTTGTCGTTGAATTAATCTTTAAATTTTTAGGTCGAAATGGCAAACCACTTAATGTGACATTCACTGAAAAGCTCGATTCACCGAGATCATTTTTAGCAAAGCATGTATAGGTCTCGGATTTCATGACTTTTCGTAAATGAAGTATTCCAGTTAATTCTTCAAGGACAGTTTTTTTGCTGTTTTCCCAACGCAAAACTGGTGTTGGATGGCCGGATGCTGAACATTTTAATAAAATGTCACCTTCAGGGTCAACAACTTGATTACGTAATCCTTTTAGTATTTTTGGTTTACTTTTGACATCTATAAAATACAATTGCAATGAAATTACACGCTTTAAAGACGAGCTCCACGATCCATTTAATCTTACTAAATAACTGCGAGAATTTCTTATTTCTTTTTAACGAAATATTTTCACTTAAGAATCACGGAATTGTGTCTCATGATTTGAATTTTTATAGCTTCCGTTTAAACACAACAAAAAATATTTTACTTACATTTAACAGTAACATGCCAGGGTAAAGAAAACATTTGTCCAGCGCTGTTTTCTACCAAGAAGTCAAACATACCCGAGTCGTCATGTTCACTGTTACAAATTCTTAAACTATTATTCTCCAACAAAGTAAATCGCGGATTTTTGAAATCTAAGAGTTTCATATCTTTAAACCAGGTAATAGTTGGTGTTGGATAGCCAGAAAAGTTAGCATTTAAAGTGATATTTGCACCAACATAAACAATGCGGATTGTTCGTCGGCGATCGACAAACGTTTGTGGTTTATAGTCAGGTATTTTGACTTTCCCTAAAGTTGAATGAAAAAAGTCCTTCGTTAATGTTGTATTTATCATACATTGTACAACATATTTTGTACAGCAAATCATACATTGTACAACATATGTAACTAAAAAAACTCGAGAAATCATCAAATTTCAATCTCTTTATGAAACTTTAAACAAATAAACATTATACAAAAAAAAACCCGCAGAATGAGAGGAAATTTGGAATATAACAAAATTCAACAAAAAAATATTTGAGGGTAACAGGCTTTTATTAAGTGATTTCATTTCATGATTTCGTGACGAGTATTGAGCATTTCACAATAACTGAAAACACATAAATACATACAAAAATAATTAAATGAAACATTGAGACTAGCATGATCAGTAACGGGTGAATCAACACCATTCCTTGCACGACATTTAATGATAACCGTATCTAAAATAGGATGGAGTCGTCCAATCCTCAACATGTAACCTCCTTTGATATTACTGAACTTGTGCCTTGGGCCTTCAGTAATCCTTTGATCATTAGCATACCACGAAACAATAGGATAAGGATTTCCAGCAACATAACAACGAAAAACAACGTACTGACTTCTATACTGTGTGAGATTCTTTGGTGCAATTCTAACTTTTAGACCTAAACGAAATAAAAGAACTAGAACTAATGACGTCATTCGGGACAAATCGTATTGAGCATATGAGTAAACCCGTCATTGGCTATCTCTTCAAGACCGCTCATGAAGTGATATTATTATCCTAAATCTGCACATAATGACACTAAAAACTTTTAGCAGTTAAAATGTTTTCCTATCTCCAGTACCATATAATTAACTAATCATTGGTTCCACTCTTTACCCACTCCCCTTCCACTTTTCCACATTGTGTGGCAAATTCCCATACCATATAACGAACCAATCATTGGCCATACTCTTTAGCCTTCTCACTTTCTCACAATGTGTGGTTAGTGACGTAGCCGCAAATTTAGTCCTGCTATGTTAATTTTGTTAATTTTTTTTGTTCACTCATTGTAAAATAGATTTCTAAAGAAATGAATAATGTTAATATCCTAAAATTTACATAGCAGAACCAAAACTTGCGGACTGGCTACGCTTCTGTGTGTGGCCGACACCAAACTATAATAAGCGTATAATCAATAAGAAATTCGCCAAAAAGTCCATTTACACTCACACGGGGTGACACAGTTATCGCGTTCTCACAAATCGACGGCGAAGTTGTTTCTTTATCAATGGCAAGATTTCTGCTGAAATATTTCTAACTAAGCAATCATTGAAGTAAATGTTTATGGCAATCATTGAAGTAAATCGAGTTATGAAAAGTAAAAGACCAACTACAATTTGTGTGTGTGAGTGAGCTTTTTAATTCTCTTTAATCGCATTATAAATACTTATGAATTTATCCGGATGGTAAGATAATTCCAAAGTGTTGTAATCTTCTTATAAAAACCAAGGCCAATTTTTAATTCTTTATACTTTCCGGATAAACTAAAGAAAGTGCTCTTTCGTTCATCCAATGAAAGGAGCCATCTTGGAAAGCTTGTCATGGTGCTCATAAATAAATAGACAACGATAACAAAATTCCACTGAACGTCATACTAAACTTCTCAAATATATTTTGTTATTGTTGGAGGCTTTCGAAAAGAAATTTTAGAGATTAAAGAAGATATCTACTAAATACGCAGCTCGCACATTTCTTTATTAGTATGCTGCACGCATTACACCACATTTGAAATTTACTTTTTCGTGTTTTCCATTTTTGATAGTGTAATTCGTAGACAAATAGCGCGAATTTTGTTCAATTTGTTACTTTAATGTAGAGGAATGAAATATAATACATGTGTAATCATTTGTGTATGGCACATCTTATTACTTGAACTCTATGGCTATAAATTGTACACACTTTATGCATTATAGGACAAGTTATTTTATTGCTGTGTAACTCTGAGTAAGCACAACAATAAACATCAAAAATAACATTTACATTCGACGTAGCAGAAATTTTCAAAACATTCACATAATCTAAGCATATAGCACAGAACTAGCAGATAATCCTTGTGTGAATGATATCAAATTTACATAACAATAAGAAAATAATTTAATAACATTCTTTATTCTTTAAACAAAGAATTCAAACAGAAGTTTTAAACCATGCAGGACAAAAGAAGATCAAAACTGAAATCAAAAATCCAAAATATTGATAGTTTAACAGTCAATCATTATATCCATTCTCTAAGTTATAAAGTAGGATTCAACCCTTCTCCTTTACATTTTTTACCTACAAACTTGATTTTAGATTTTCACAAGCGGAATCTTTGTCATAAAGCTCCAACAAAACTCTACAATGGATATCAACTTTACAAAGGCAATTTTACAGTTGAATTATTTTTATATAATTACAACTTTTCTATGTGAGAAAACTAAATGGGACTATGTAAAAACCTTTAATTTACTAAATAGTTAAAGCTGATTGCTTTATAAACAAAAATATTTCTGATGAATTAAAAAATTGCAATCCAGTGGACAATGAATCAGTAATAAAAAGCCTTCATAAAACTGCGCCCAAAACTCCCAGTTCTCAATGACAAGTCATCAAATTATAATAAATAAAGGAAAATCACATCATATAATTTGTGTACAGACATCTTAATGTACAAAACTTGACTCTTAAAAGGTTATGACAAGTTTGTAATATTTCTATTGTGTTTCATGTCAAATAATATTTTGCTCTTTGCGGTAAAATTTCGTATAAATGATCAAAGTGTTGAACAAAGGCAGCAGGTGCACAATTTAATGCTCTAACACTGTTATCACTATAGCTGCAAGTTTAGAATCAAAACAATAATCAATTTTCAAATAGAAAAATTACTAATCGCAGTAATTTAATAGAAAATTACTTTTGCTCGTTACTTTCCATAAAAAGAGGGCCCAGAAAAGCTATACTTTTTTAGCTATAGGTGGAATTCATAATCATTGCAATATTTACATATGAAACATGCTTATATTTAGCAATATTCGATCGACATTTAAGAAATTAAGAAATTATTTTTTAAAAATTTTAACCCAGCTTATGCAAAATATATTTCTCGACAAACGTTGTATCTCTCACAAAAAGCATTAAAAGGTATCAAAGCAAAATCGTTCGAACAAATGATACAATCATTCGCATTACTGAACACGAGGCCGGATATGCAAAAAGGTTTTGAAGTAATGAAAATTTCATTGACAAAATACAATTTAGGAATTATTCGAAACAGCGATGGAAAGAAATACGGAATTCATGTACAAAACTTTAAACTGTTTTCACAAGTACACACAATTTCTCAATAAGTATTAATAGAAAATTAATGATTGTTTTTTGATTTGCCGAGCGACAATTAAACTACGACCCAAATGTGCCACAGTTTACATTTATTTCATTCAAAAGACGTTATTATGAAAATAAAAATCTTTCCCAAAAACATTGTCACCGATGATAAACTTAAATTTTCCAATCATCCAGACAGTGTTAAATATTTCTTCGTCATAATCTTCTTGTGACCTACTTGTGCTTGATCAGTTGAGAGAAACAAAGAAATTCAAATTTTATTTACCTGACGAGTTAACAACGGAAAAAAGCAGAAGAAAAAAAGTTCCCGCGGTAATCAATGGTACAATCTGGTTGAACATGGTCATCTTAGTTTGATGTCGGTACAAGTTGAAGCAGAAATATAGGACTCAGCTATTCCAAGGCATTCTGCCAAAACCCTCATCAAATGTACTATACAACGATGTTGCCGACATACAGCAGCACTAGCTTGGATACTTAAACCGAAAGATCAATTGTTCATTTAATTCACTTCAGTGTGCTAACGTACAAAACATTATCTGTTTAATAATAAGAACGGTCATCAACACACCATCAAGCATAAACACAGTATCAATATACAAATAGGTCAGTCTTACTCATATTACATTTATACAATTAAAATACACGTGACTAATAGTGCTGATTGTCAAATGTGCAAATAGATTCATCTGATTGGATCGAAGCACAGACATGAATGAAAATAAAAAAGTTAAACTGTTTTTTTGACTTAAGTAAAGCCGGATTTTATTTTAGCCCAGAGCAAAAAATCATTAAATATTAGCATCAACTATCGACCATAAATTGCGTATAGCATGAGAATGATGATTTTATCAAAATAAATTTCCATTGTCAAAGTATTCAGTCATCGTCATATCACACACAAAGAAACATGGTGTTTACTTGACTTTAAATGTTGAAACGAAATAATTTTGTATCCTAGATGACTAAAACATTGTCGATATCGCGACATTGTTGCCGGGTGGAATCAATATTGCTAGATATAGCTGAATAATTATGCAATGAATACGATGAATGAATGAACGAGAAAAGAATGATATAGTATGGCTGCTACATAACAAGACCGCAAGCAAAATAGTATATTTTTGGAACTCTGCGGTTGAAAATAGACCAAACGTCATGCTAACCACCATTCATTTCGTGCGTTGAATAATCAATTTTAACTTTTCAAGGACAGGTGGCTTTGCGCCAATGGCGCCAACCGCTACCCCGTGAAATAACATACACTAATGTCAATCATACTGAGACAGGTTAAACAAGTATCACAACAGCAAAACTGCTTTAAATAATACATTTAAAATCATTAAAATTGATGAACTTTAGACATTAGTACTTTGGTGAAGAGGAAAATTACAAATAACATATTTACATGCTATAAGAGAGTGTATGAATTACATAAGAAAATTTTACATTTCGATCTTCTTCATATAATCTATAATTCTAAGCTACAATATATTTAAGTCAAAAGTTATTTAACTGTGCTGGAAAATTACCAATATTTTCCATCCAAATGTTTGGCTTTCATGGCTAGCTAATAAGGTCTGTACAACAGGAACATTCACAGCATGTCGTGTGAAATGTTCATCATAAATATAGCTTCTCCTCTTTATGATCTAACATCACTATCTGCCTTTTTTTACAAACATCGACTAAGGATTTCTTGGGAATTAATTTTTTCCCGCTTAAATTTTTCCTGTATCGTTTCGTCTTTAAAAAGGAAAATTATAGAGCGAACACGTCGTTTGTACTTGTTGTTTATCCTTCTTTCACAAGATTCAAATAATTTCTTCTCAAGATCCTGCGTACCACAATGAGGCAACTGTGAAAAAAATGACTTTATCATTTATTAGGAATAAAATAAATTTTAACAGTGCAATTTTTTTCCCAGGCTGAGCAAGAACACAAAGAGAGTTTCTAGGCCATAGATACAAAGGACCAAGATGAAAAAGTGGAGAAGCTTTGCAAAAAAACTCAATTTAAACATTTGGCAAAATAAAATGTAAAGTAAATGATTTGAACACTGCAAAGAGTATTGTTACAAGTTTGTAATTGTATTGTTAATAATTTTCATGTTGAAATACTTCATCCATTCATACTCAAGAAATACACATGTGTTCATTGCCTGGGACAACTGCATTGTGATGACAGTCAAGACAATTCTCGATGAAATAATTTTCTTTCTGTTATTTTGCCCTGTTTGCCTTTCATTCGATAAGAGTCTGTTTATGATTTCAAAATTAATATTTTACTTACTGTTAAATTCAAACTGTCACAGATCATCCTCCTTGCTTTACATCTCACTAACTCTGTTTTTGCATCACAACGCACATCAATGCTTTCTTTTTTCTTATTCTCATCAATAACAAGCCTTTTCCATTTCTTTACAATATTTCTTGACAAATTTCTGACACTTAGATGTTTTGATGTTCTAAATTTTTTTACGGTCTTTCCAATCATGGTCTGTTTCAAGACTTGTGTGCAAGGATACATATCTTCCAACTTTTTCAATACATCTAATATTTCTATTTCATCTGCATCATTGTTGTATTTCTCCAGTGAAAACCGTAGTTTTAAAATATCTTCCAGGACAACAACTCTCTGAATTTTTAACATCACAACATAAATTTATAATACACAACTCGTGAATCTCGACAACAATTGGCTCATTTCAGTACATTCATGCAAACTTCATTAGTTTTTCAAACAAAAATAAATTGAGTTGCCACACTTCTGAGGTCAACAACAACCTTAAAAAAGTCTTGTATATTTGTCGCTGTTCAAGTAAGCGTTTATGGGGTCATTGCGAAACAAGATGGTCATCACGTTTTCAATTGCGCATTTTATGTGATACATTTCGTAAGACGAAAAATTTGATAAAATTTAACCAAAATATGTTGAAATTTGCTTACCGGAAGTGCTTTTATCGTGCTCTGTTTCAATTTCAATGAGCCAGGTTTTGCTGCCTTTATGTCATTTGAATTTCTAGGTTCGCGAACAACATACTTATCCATACTATCAAGAAATGTATAATTTCAAACTTTTATTTTACACGGTTCTCACTCTCTTTGTCAGATTCTTCCTAATCACATCCGGAGAGCCGTTCGAGCTGATAGTCACTGAGCTATATAAATTCAGATCAGTCTGGTGAAACTCCAGTGTCAAACGTGTCAGATTGACTAGACGCACTGGATCAGTGAGTCGACATTGTTTCAAGTTTAAGCCTAGGAAATAAAAGCATAGAAGCTTTTCGATTTATCTGAATACGCCTGGTTCCTCGTACATTTTAATTGAGTTTGAGAATTCATAATTTCTTTACTTCTTCACTCTTTTCGCAGTAGTTAAAAAATTAAACGAATTTCTGTGAGAGTTGGTGCGACTAATATTGTGTTAGAAAAAAGATTACATCGAATATATTACATGACTTTTGATAAAATAGCATAACTTACTATAGATCAATGCATATAATCAATGCATTCCGGATGCAACGCAATCCGGATTCGCTCATCACGTCATCTTTAAAGGGGTAAAAGCTTATTAAGTTGATATATTTAGTCACTGCCTTTTACTATTAAGAAAATTTAACCTGCTACTGCGAGAATAATCCAGTATACACGGTGTAAATGGGCCACCGGTAACATCAATTGTTTGGTTCATTTTACAAATTATTATCAATATCAGAGTCATAATCAACATTATTACTGTAAGACACATTGTTAATTAAAGTACTGCTTATTACTGGGGTAGTAGAACTTGACCTGCGTGAGCCAACGACACGCTCTTCGTGATCCAAATTATCACGACTTGAAGGCTCTGCGCCTGAATTATTGCTCAAATTCGATCGCCTTTTCAAATACAATATACACAAAGCAGCAATGTATGTTACAATCATCAATGTTATGATAAAAGGTCCAGCTTTCTTTGCAGCATCATTTGACTTAATAGAGTGACTAGCCTTCGGAACATCAGCGTACCATAGTAAAATAACAAATAAAACAGAAATGAAAATTACAATTGTTAGAATGACGTATATCGCTGGTATATTACAAGCTGAGCAGGAAACAATTTGACATGTACAACAAGGAGATTGGATGATACAACCATTTGTAGTTGAAACATTTTCAGTTTTAGGTTGGTTGGACTCTATTGTCTGCAGTTGTTGAGCGCAGAATCTTATCGCTTTCAATGAATCTTCTTTGTTCAATGTACCATTCTCTTCAAAATAAACTATTTCGTTAATTAAGTCACGTCGTTTTGGATGGACTTGGTCGAAAATCGCCTTGAGATTTTTTAAATTATTCTTATTGATTATATCTCTTTGAATGAGATTTTCAAACAGACTCAATCCATCATTGATGTCAGAACGCACACTTTCAGGAACACTACTCAACAACACCATTTGCTTCACTTCTTGATTGTTTAATTTAGAGCTTAATAAACATAACAGAGCTTTAAACGGGGTCGCCATAGTTTATAAACAAAGATATGTAAGTTGAAGTTGCTAAATATATTGAAAACAATAACATGAAGACCTTTAAAAAATGCTTAGGTATGAAAATTTAGTCTTTTCAATTTTAAATTATTATTTACACTTATTTAGAAAAAAAGTTATACTTTCCATGGCAACTATTTCTATAGAAATTTTAAAAGTTTCTTTGTTCTTGCATGTTGGTGTTCTCAATCTTTTTTAAGAACTTCCCCTCAGAAGTCAGCGCTACACTTACATCATAAAAGAAACTTTGTCAAAACAAGAGAGAGGAGTTTATTAAATCAACCGCACTTGAGTTAATTAACATGTACGATCACCCTAAAATAGTTTTAACTTTTTACATCCTTTATTCATTCATTATTTCTTGGGCAAGTCTTTCGACATTTTGGTGAATCTGCGATAGTGTCATAAATTCTGATTGCTCAATCACATTGACAATAAAGATTGTATGGTCTAACGAATGACATTTCAACCAAGTCTTGCCGTTGATGCCGACTGCAAACTCAAACGGAATAACTTTTTGAAGTACCTTCAATATGGGACCCTCAGGACTGAGCATTCTAAAAAAACAGATACTTAGTATAGCATACTCTCAGTCATGTATATGAATATAAAATCAAACTTCCTGTTTAATAAATTTTGTTAATTCTAAAAAAAAGTTCGACCACATTAACAAAATTATATATTTAAAACCATGGTAATGAATAATTCACTTTCATTGCAAACACTTCTTTGCATGTATACTTAAAAAAATAAATTGTGAATTGGCTAAGAATGCGGTGGTGAAGGTGAACAAAATACATAATTCATACTTTCTTGCTAAACCCAAAGAATGTGTAAAAAGAAATCCATCTTTCAAAGGTCCCATTCCATTTGCTTTACCATTTAGGTCTGTACAAACCAATTCAGCTTCCATGTCTTTGTTAGCTATTGATAAACGACAATACACAACATCTCCAATCTATTCAAGAAAATGAATTATTCAGTAACTTTGAAGATCTGAAATTGTAAATTTGTTTTTATATAAAATAATTATATGAATATAATGCATTTCAAAATTCAACAGATCATTGATTAATCTGATCTGAACAAGAGAACAAGAAGTCAAATTGTTACAAGATGATAAACACAGGACGAAAAGAAAGCGGTAAAGAAGATGAAGCAGTTGTGACTGCTTAGCTGCTTCGTATATTGAAAGAGTTAAGGCGTCATTCACTTCGTTTTCTTTGAAACGCTTTTTTAATGAAAGCAAAGTGAAATTGGTGAATGTGAAGAACAGAGCAGCGCCAAGAGAACGAACGGAAAATATAGAGACATAATAAAAATTGCGTAAGTAGATGGAATTAAATGGTGAAGCACAAGAGTTGCACTGTTGCAGTGAATATGATTGGTTTGAGACGAGAAAAAAAATCAATTCTAAAACAGACACAGAAACTGCAGTTTTGAATTATTGACGGTATGAAATCCTATATGTTAAGGTCCGTTCACACGATCCGATTGTTTCGGTTCCGACTATTGGTTGCTTGTTCAGACGGTGGGATAATTTTGTTGATGTTTATATTCGTTTAAATATTTAAAGTCGTGTGAGCAGCCATTTGTGCTATCCAGTACATTATCGATATATTTTTCGTATTTTTGTTCTTGTTTCCAAGTCTTTTTTCAAATTTATGTAATTGAACTAGTAGCTTTCTTTGATCTTGTCGGATGAAAATAAAGCAAGTTCTATTTCCATCCGATTATCTAGATTGACGGATCCGACTATCGGAAGCTGTGTTCCCACGATCCGTTTTTTAGGATCCGACAAATCGGATTGTGTGAGCTGGCCTTTAGATGGGTATTTTTACATTGAGAACATTTGAAAACAACATATGCTGTACTCATCTCCACACTACTGTGATGTCATCACTCATATTGTTCATGGTTCAATGATCATAATTCTACAATCACTAAAGCAAAAAAATTGAACCCAATACCTTTAGTTGAGGTTTATTTTTCTTAGTTGCACCTTCAAATGCAAGAAATGGCAAAGATGCAGGCATACTACTACCAATATCTACTTGATAACTCTCTCCACCTTTATTAGTTATAATGCCAACTACTTTCTCATCTTTTACTGGCACATACTAAAAAAATTTAAGTTATAAAATAATAAATTTTAGAACCACAGATTATATGTGAATCAAGTCTTGCTACATTAATTTTTATGTGTATAATGACCAAGAAGACAATAGAATCCAAAAAAGTGAATAATGATGAATTATTTTGAAATTTATATGGCAGGACTTTTAAACTGGATACACAATACTGTCAAGAGCAAATAGTCAGCAGCTATCTTCGACAAAAAGCATCAAACTTTACAAACCTGAAAACCTTAAGCATCTAATTTTATTATCATTGATATAAATCATATTTTGCATTTAAAGTATGCTATATGGCTAACCATGGCATACTTTGTGATTGGTCGACTTCGTAATGTTTTCTGAAGACTCTTTTTGCAAGTAGTTGAATTTTGTAGTTTTATATGCTCGATAAATGTTTTTATTAGTTTTCAGTTCCATAGATGTTTTAATTGTTATGATATTAAAATGAGCTGGAAAAAATTTTTTGCCTGTTTCCCTTTGGGGAAAGATAGCATTTATTTTAAGTCATATGACTACAAATAAAGCAATCATGTCTAACATACACAAGCACCTATATAACAATGTCAATTGTTATCATGTTAAATTACAATAGCTTATCTGTCTGTCAGGCATATTTTCACTAGCAATTATCAGACTTGCCGACTCTCCAGCTCAATAGAAGGATACCCGAAATTATGGCAAATCTGTTGATTTGGTTATTCTATAGATGAGTTAGATTGCTTACATTTCACTGGCAGGCAGATGTAACGCAAGAGAGGTTAAGTATTTTTGCTGGTTTGTCTGAAAGCACTCAACAAGTTTTCCTGCCAGTCCCAACAAAAGTAAACAATCTAACTCATCTATTTTGGCAGATAGTAGTGTTTCATATCAACAGCAGTGACGATTCAGATTTCTGTTTGCAACTATATCTGTTTTATAATTAACTCTTCAGAAAAATTTATGAGTACCCTTTTCTGATCAGAATCAATCCAATACATAGCTTGATCTTTTTCTCTTAGTACACCACATTTATAGGCAATAATGTGGTCTTGATCAACTCTCAGTCCTGGGCCAATCTTTATAATCCCAATGTTATTCGAGTTTTCATTTTTTTTGCCAACTACATCGCCAGGTAATACAACTTGATTTACAAAACAGAAGTCGTACGAATAATTGGCCATATTGGAATTTCATGGATACTTCATGTAACTTATAAACGACGTAGATTAATCAGTGATTTTATTTTTAGAGTGAGTGTCCCATACGCCACATACAGAGTCTGAGTGTATAAAAAATGGGACCTAAAGAAATCATGTAACAGTCAACTTTATCAGCATAATATATCCAATAACATGAATTCTCGCATGAAGTAATAATAAGAAGATCATTTTGGAATACTTTTGGAAAAATATTCTACAATTGTAGTCTAGAAAAAAGTCTACAATTGCATAATTATGCAGATTTTGCAGGTAGAAGTTATGTTAAATTCCCAAGAGCAGAAGAGCTTGTGTGCCTGTAACAAAGATCTGTAATAAATGCACGTAAATCACAACTTATAGCCTTAGCGTGTTGATGGGCATTGGTTGGATTACAATAGTGAATAGTTTGATTTCAATACATGTGCACTCTGTAGAAATAATTTTATTGTTCCAATATCGTTGTCAAGCCTGGTTTTATTAGCGAAAAAAGCATAACTACATGCAAAGATAAGAATGGGTAAACTGGCCAATCACATGCTATCATATTCAATATCATTAATGAAAATCGCCCCTTCAAATAATTACAGGGGCTGTACGTATAAATCAAACGGGTGCGGTTTACACGTGTAGTTCTTGCTCTTCGTGCTGTTAACGGGAGCGAGAATCGTGAAATTATGAATTGCAAAGTTTTGAAACTCTTCTTCTAAACTTTGTGCTAAAATTAAGTAAAACAGAGCGATGTAAGTCTACTGCAAAGAAACTGTTCAGTCAAAGGTAAATTGTTTAGGCTTGCTTATTTTATTTTCAGTTTATGTTATCGTCAAGCGCAGCTTGAGAATCGTCTCTCAAAATGTATTAAATGTTCTAGTTTGGTGGTCAGTTTGTTCACTTAGTCGATAATATGCCCAAAGTTGTCATTTATAATTATATATCTAATGATTTCTGTGCGTTTGTGCGTTTTTAGGCAGTTACAATTAGGTGAAAGCAGTACACAAAGTCAGTCACAAATCACAAACGCGGTCGTTAGTGTCGAACGAAAGCTGGATACAAAAAAATCCAAAAGAAAGCTTTATCAAGATATTACAATTCATAGAGGTAAAGTATTTTTAAAAGCTATTATGCATTTGTGTTTAAAGTGGCTATTTTTTCAGCATGAAACAAGAAATTTGGTGAGTCTGTACCATATGTCCATATGACATCGAGTCATTGACTTTAATTGTTGAAGACAAGAGCTACATACATAGGCTTTATATTACCACCATTTTAAATAACTTGATAAATTAGTGACAATTAACGACGAGAAATTAAAACTAATAACTTTATAAAAGACATTGTTCATCTTTAACTGCGTTAATCACAGAAGTGAGTTTATTCAATTTAGTAATTTTCGCATGCATTATCATTCCGTAAAAAGTTGGCGTAAACAACAATCGTTACTAACTGAAGCCACTTGGGAATTACTTGTAATGTTTTAAAGTACATTTATAAATCAAATATTTTTAACCATGACTTCATACGATCAATTACTCGACAAGTTTTAAATGTTTAAAAGTCTTATTGAGTTAATGATTTATTCTTTTCTTAGAATACATCAAAAGATATTGGTGACAAAACACATTTTATTTAAACCGAAATCTACTGCTTTCCATATTTCAACTTGAAGTTGCCCTTGATTTATGAAGTCAACCTACAATGAGCGTGGTCTAAAAAATTGACAAAGAAAGGTACGGTAAATTGAAAGTTAGACCTGTACGCAAATATTTTCTATGTTAGGTTCAAATGGTCCATCAATCCATTTTGAAGTGAAAAAAAATCCAACTTATCGTTAATGGCTTTCGGATTGCTTTCCATTGTTGAGAAATACTTCATAAATTATTCCTTGGAGTACTACCATGCGCTATATAGCACTCAATTTAATTCTTAATTTCACAGGGGCAAAAGTAACAAACGCGTGGTTAATGCTTATGCGATTTTCGTATGCACATAATCTGGTTGAATTTTAAAGAAAACTTAAACGCTTAATTTACAAAAAAGCGTTTTTATTACAGCATGCAATAATTTTTTGAAATCTGCTTTTATACTATGGAATGATTTTTTTCATATTATTATGGCGCGAGTATTAAGAGGTTTGCGCTCAATTTTCAGTCCTTAGCTTCATGACAAAGGCTTGCAACCATCTTATTTTACGTATTTCTTTTATATATACATTCTTGCCTATCTTTGTACATCAAATATTTGTAATTAAAATAACTATAAAAAGGAAAAGACTGACCAACACGAAGTGGCAATTAACACGAAGTGGCAATTAACACGAAGTGGCAATTAACACGAAGTGGCAATTAACACGAAGTGGCAATTAACACGAAGTGGCAATTAACACGAAGTGGCATTTAGCACGAAGTGGCATTTAGCACGAAGTGGCAATTGATGCAGGATTGCAATCAAATGCTGTGTTTGTTAGGTATACTCTGCTGGGCTTTATCTAGTACGGTTATAACTAGCTTCCTACCATATTTTGTTGGTCGTGCTTACGTTATGAATAGTTTTCATAAATGGCTTTCTTGCTTTTCTTCTCTTGACCAAATGATTTCGATCAGTCCTACTTAAGCACTCAAACTTCGTCATAAACATCTCCTAGCCAACAAGTTGTTCCTTACCAAATACCAATCAGTCTTTCTTAGTTATGTACCTCCATTATCTGTTGATTCCCATTGCAGCTTTCCCATCTTAGTCATGTGCAATCAATCTTAACCTATTTACCAATCCTATCATGTCATCAAATCCTACCTAATCAATTCCTTCCTTACCTGTGGATATTATTCCTTCCAAACCAATACCTATCCTTCCTTACCAACCAACCTAACCTTGTCTACCAATCTTACCTTATCCCTTCCTTTACTACCTACCTATTCCCGTTGCCTTTTCCATCCTCCCTTCCTACCTCCTTCCTTATTCTTTTCTATTCCAACCAACCTTTCCATCTTCCTTTTTCCTCTTTATTTAACCCACCTTTCCTCCCTATCTATTTACTACCATCCTTCCTCACCCACCTCCCTTGTCCCTTTCTTTTTCCACCTACCTATTCCTGTTGCCTTTTCCATCCTCCCTTACCAACCAACCTAACCTTGTCTACCAATCCTACCTTATCCCTTCCTTTCCTGCCTACCTATACCTGTTGCCTTGTCCATCCTCCTTTACCAAACAACCTAACCTTGTCTACCAATCCGGTCTATTCGTTTCTCATCCCAACTAATCTAACTTTGCTTACCAAATAGCAATCCTTTCTCTTCAATCGATCCTTGTGGTAAACATTAATCTCTCCTATCCATTATCTTATGCTAGGTACCGTAAATTATTTAATTAATTTACCCCTTCGTTAACCACTCTTTATGAGGCTTGGCTTCCATTGCTTGTCAACTTCGAAATCAACACTTCGTAGCATGTACGAAGACTTTAAGAATCTTCGATATTTCTTCTAATTCTTTTGTAAAATGGTCTTGAGAAATGACTTGTGTTACTGCATGTGGTGCAATGAAGCTCAAAAAAAATGTGTCAAAAATTCGTTGGTCAGATGTCGTTTGTTTGTCGTAAAACTCGATCTGGAGTTAATGTCGATCTGGAATAATACTCGATCTGGAATAAACTCATTTTGAAGAATCAACACTGAAAAAGCGTTTGAAAGAGAAACAAAATTGCAACACTGATATACTATAGTGAAGATATGGCTCAATGGAGAAATCAGTATCTTGAGAGGAATTCTACAGTCATTCAGTCTTCAATATCTTGTAATTAGGAAAGTTAAATTTTAGAATTTTATGGTTGCTTATACGATACAAACAACTTATTATGCTATATTAAGGGCATTTTTTTCTCAGCACTAGTCTATATGAAACGCTGAGAGACTGAGATATCCAACATGAACAATCATGGCATTACTACCACAAGTATTTGGGTATTAGCAGATTTTTAAAACAGATTTTGCTATAAAGCATTTAATGACTATGAGAGAATATAAATGTGTTCTCAGGCTATTTTGCTGAACTTGTGTAGAAAAAATTCGAGAAATGTGCTTTTAAGAAATCAGTTTCGCGTTATATTTGGCCGAATTTCTGGAACTTAACTCTTTATTAAATATTTCATAATTAGGAAAGTCGACTTTTAGAATTTTTTGATTGCTTATACGACACAAACAACTTACTTAGCTATATTAACAGCATTTTTTTCTCAGCACTAGTCTATATGAAACGCTGAGAGACTGAGGTATCTAACATGAACAATCATGGCATCACTGCCACAAGTATTTGGATATTGACAGATTTTTAGGACAGATTTTGCTATAAAGCATTTAATGACTATGAGAGAATATAAATGTTTTCTCAAGCTAATTGCTATAAAGCAGATTTTGCTATAAAGCATTTTATGAGTATGAGATGATATAAATGTTTTCTCAAGCTAATTTGCTGAACTTGTGCAAAGCAAATTCGAAAAATGTGCATACGAAAGTCTTAATAAGTTTCTCCACTCGAGACGAAGAATAGTGAATCTCATTTAAACAAGACTGGTGAAATTAACAAGAGCAAAAAAATGTACGTTCATGGCAAAGACGTTATGTGAACTGATGCAAGGATGCGATAGTGTGCAGTGATAACATCTTAAAATTCTGAGATTCTAACTTCCGTCCAAGTGGTTTCGAATGAAATGAAACTACATAGATGCCAGTTATTAGTTCTACATAACTTTAAATACTTTCGTCGTTGGTCTTTATCAGTTATCTGGAAATAATAACAGTCGTTACTGGCATCTTACCGACATCAATGCAGTTAAATAACGAAGTATCAACTCGTGGAGCGACGAGATATTAAATAATTATAACAGTTATGTCTCTGCTTCAAGATCGCTGTGCTGAATTTCTATAACTGCATGATGTTCTGCTGAGGCAGTATAATGGAAGGGAAAACCTACGGGTAAGTCAACCATTATTTTGAGTTGGTAACACAGCACTCAAATGACTTATTTATCTTGCATTTTCAGTAGCAGACATAGGGCGTGTTTAACAACATGCAATCATTTAAATTTAGACCATTGCTTCCAGACTGCTACGTCTTGTCACATACACGCCCATAATATTAGAAATTTTTATCAGACAACCAGAGCGATGCATTGCAACACTTGTGTTATGTATTTAAAGTGTAGAGAAAGGAATTTAAAAATAAGCAAAGGCAATTATTAGCTAAGACCAATAGACCACCATGATTTCTGTACCAGATTATACGCATATTCAAAAACATACTGCAGAGACTAGATGTTTGTTTACATATATTACATCTTCTATAAATTGTTCCTATGACTGTAAATGTTTAATTTTACACAAATCTTATTATTTTAGCTTGATCGTTTACAAAGATATGTAGATCAAGTATCGCCGTTGGTCCACCTTATCAATATATTTTGATCTATACTCGCGTGGACCATACTTGAATGTGAAGGTATATGACAAAACCACGTCCCTCATGTGGATTACGTACTTCATGTTACTGGGGATAATTCTTCTCAAATGAGCGGACCATACTCAATGGTTTTTGGAAAAGTACCTTTAAAATATGTGGAACATACTTTACGGTTTCCTGAACTAACAATGTATCTCACGTGGACGATATTTAATGATTCTGGGCATAAATCCTCACAAACAAACAGACTATAGTTAATGGTGTTGTTGAAAAAATCAATCAAAATCTTTGGAACTGAAACATCGTGGTTTGTGGATAGAACCTGATGAATTTGTGGAAAATTTTGTCACTGAAATCAGCGGACAACAATGTTTGGTCTTGTTCTTGAACTTTAAATATGTGGACTATACTATGGTTTTATATGCCCAATCATTAATCTGGATTATACTTTATGGTTCGTGGATAAACTTTGGCAATTATCATTAATCCTTGGTGAACTCTTGGTATACCAAAATGGCTCAACGAAACATCGATGGAAATTACGCCGTTTCAGGTGCCGAGGTTTATAATTTTCATGCAGTATAAGGCTCGTGGTGATCAACATTAGCAAAAACTTTCAAGGATTGAGTTGTAAAACGAAGTCCATTGTCTTTACAATTTTTGCTAATGAACTTTTCCTTTCTTTTTTTTTTTGTTGTGCATAGAGCATAAATTTATTTTCAGCGCAAATTAAGTACTGGAAATGAAAGCATAAATTTCAGGTTGTTCGAAAGGTGTCATTTAAACTTTCGTCCAAAATGAAATGTAGCTCATTTTTGGTCAGCAAAAAGCTTCTAAAACGCGTAAAACAATGTAGTTTATTATTGCACTTGAAAACGTATCAAAGATTAGTGCAAACTGATCACCACGATGTTATACCACCATAAGTTAAAAGAAATTGGCATGGGTTTCTTTGAGCTTTGGTTGTATAATTTAAAATTTAAGTAAGTGTTTTTCTTTTTGCATTATTAAAAATCTTAAAATAGATAGATACTTTTAAAATTAAACTCGCTAAACGATCGCAAAACTGAAAAATGCGTCAAAAATTTCGATGTAGTATGCGCAGCTATAGTGCTCTAAAACGTTAAAGCGTCGGTGTCAAATTTAATGAATTAGATGAGAGCAATAGATACGTTTAAAGCAGTGCGGTATTTGAAATTTCGTAATGGAGGAATCAACAGTTATCGATGGCGAAATAATCTTCGGTACATGTTCGTGTCATATACATAAACATCAATTTCGAAAACCAAAATCTTCTACTATTGTCTGATGATAACTACAACATTTGCTACGAAACACATTTTAACCATGCCGATCACTAAAACATAATTAGTTTTTTAGTATATATTTTGTCAATCAATGTTGTTAGAATCATCAACAAGAGTATTATCTCGTGGCTGCTGGAGATTTGAATTGTGTTTAAGCTTAATCATTTTACATCCTTGTATGGAATGATAAAAATAGATATTTCGCTGAATTTTTTTAATACTCATGTATATCGACATTATTTTTATTAAAAGAATGCACAATTCAAAGCTCTACAGCTGAAAGAATGATTTTGAGCCAAATTGGCTGTTAAATAATTGTCCTTGTATCCTGGCATCTTCGTTTGCCATATACTGAAACGAAGATGTGAAATGGTGGGATCTTCGAGATGTCTAACTTATTGTTATTCATCTTGACAGGTAGCTTATATTAATCAGTGTACTAGATTTGTTATCCTTCGATATGAAATGATAACAATTTATCTGGTGCGTAAATATAGCTTTAGGTTAGTATATAATCGTAAACGGTGCCTTGTTGGTACCTAGGTAATCGAGTGTTGGACACAAGAAGGATTGGTTGGCACGCCGTTTGGTGGTAATGTATAAGGGCCCCGGGAGGTGGGTTTCCCCCCTTAGGCTCCATTTCGGCTTGGGTACTAACGTTGCTTTACAGGTGTCGCATCGTTCATCGTGGTTCGTCAATAGTATCATTAACAGCGTAGTTATGTAGGTAGACTTCGAATGATCTTCCACCATTTTTCAGGATTAGGACAAACAAATTTCTAATAACCAAAACGATCCAACATGGCGTCATCAATGCAAAAATGGCGATTTTTTAAAGACATTTTTCCCCGGCTCAATGTCGGGTTATTTTAAATATGAATGCATGATGCTTGGTAACCTCCACTCGTTGTCAAAACCTTTGTAAAGATAGCGACAGTTCAACTATTTCTCTCTGTAAACATAATTAAGGCTTAAATACACAAGTTATAAAATGACAATGTAAACATAATTGGTAAAGTATAATTTAATGGTTACCCAACTATCTAGCATTCTACGACTTCAATGAGCTCTTTAAGCCATTAGGAGTCTGAGGGTTTTCCTCCGGCAAGTCCGGTTTCCCTCCTTCAAGTATTTCTTTCAAATACACTTACAATGAAAAATATTTAAGTAAAGATAAAGGTGTTTGGGGCAATCGGTTGCAAACACCAAAAAATGACCATGTTTGGGACCACATTGGTTTAGCTGTTCTGTTGAGAACAAATTATTCATCATTCCAATGATTGTGTAATAGAATTTTGAAGAACTTGTATGAACTATATATTCCCAAAGTAATAATAGTTGAGTCTGTAGTCTTCAGCAAAGCTACAACATGAAATGTCAAATTTATTTTGAATAATTTGAGTTTCAATGAACAAATACGCTGACCTTTTTGGTTATTAGGTTAGATTCCTGGTTCATCTGTTTGCAAGCCTGCGTCAAAGAGTGTAATAAAACAAAAATGTAAATAAAATATTCTTATATCAATATTTAGGCCGTGTGTCAACAGTAATTGTCAAATGAATGTGGAGAAGTGAACATTGAGTTTAGTCATACACCGTGTCAAACCATTTAAATGTAAACATACACAAGTAAACCCCTAGAATCATGACAATTCGTCGCCAAGAGCAAACGTTTAGGATAATTACAGATAGTTTTTGAGAAAACCTAATACAATTATACTCTATGATAAAACGACAATTGAGATACGCATGTTTTTCAAGGTACTTAATTTATCTACATAATTAGATGATTTAGATCCATTGGATTTTAGGGAAAATTTGAGCATGAAAATTTTCATGCTAGAATATATTAGTAATTAAGTGCACTGATTTTTTATGAAATTGTCTAGTGACCTACAACAATGCTAAATGACATCATTAAATTTCTTGGGAAAATTGTGCGCATCTAATTCAGACGCATTACTGATTGTGACGTCATAATTAAAAATTGAGGAGGGTCGAGTTTAGGCTATACAAAGACATTTCGCGATAAATCGATTTGGATATGTCCGACTACGACAGTTATGAAGGTGATTTGATCGAATTAGGAAAAGAACATGCGGGTACGTATGATGGAGATCGTAATGAAGCAGGTGAAAGACACGGTCATGGAGAAGCAATGCATAGAAATGGTGATATATACGTTGGTCATTATGAACTGGGCAAACGTAATGGTTTTGGTAAATATAAGTTTAAAAACAATGCAAGGTAAAGACCCGAGAAAAGACAACTGGCTAACAATATGCAAAGAAATGTTGTCTCACATTTTGAAGAAGTGTAAGCGGTCTTGCGGTTCAGTGTCTGTAACATTTTCTGTGTATACCGCTAGATACGAAGGTGAATATGTCAATGGTGTTAAAGAAGGAAAAGGAACATTTTGGTATCCTGATGGATCGAAATATGAAGGCGAATGGAAGTCTGGTATTAGAAATGGCATGGGAAAATACACATATCCAAACGGTGATTGGTACGATGGATCATGGAAAAGCAACCTGAAGGATGGAAACGGAATATACTATCACAGTCAAAACGACGTAACATATAAAGGTTTGTTTGAGTCAAGAAAAACTCACAAAAAAATTGGAGTCATGTACAAAAATGTTCTTAAATCGACGACTCAAACCCTAAATATTTTTTTACCTTAATTTAAACCTCGATTTTTTTGGCTGAAATGTAAGTGTCTACGTGTTTTATAGGAAATTGGCGCGATGGTATACGTGTGGGAACTGGGAAAATCATTAATAAACAGTATACTTTCCTTGGAAAATTCAAAGATAACTATCCTTTGGGTGCAGGTAAAATGATTTTCGAAGGCTGTCAACAGATTGGTGAATATATAATGACCGACGTGTTCGTGAGGAAAAATGGAATTCTTGAAACTGAACAAGAAGCAACATGGCGTTGTTGTGAACTTATCTACTCATCAGGATCGCGAAACAGACATTCAAAATAAGTGCTTCTTATTAATCGACGATTTTATATTTTAATTAATTTCAGAATCGCATCTGAACCAAATAAATATCACTTTGTATATGTATCATTTTTCTTTATTTTTTTTCAATACACGCTTATCCCCCATCACTCCTCAACCATCTGCGTCAATTTAACTCTGACCAAGCAAACTTTTTAATAATTTTTCTTTAAAAATTATGGCTGGGTTGATTACAACTTTTATAGAAGTATCAGTAATTCGTCATATCAAACAACATCACCATTAAGTCAACTTATTACCATTCTTGTCACATGTTGCTTTACATGTAATGAACACGGGCTTAAATAAGTTTCGACATATGCTGCACAGATGGCAAGTATGTTAACAGATAAATTTTTACACAAACTGAACAGCAACAGTGAGTCTTGCTTTAGTTGGGGAACTTACAAGCCTGCATCGTTATCCGTACTACAGTCTATGAGCCCGACTCTCTCACAAGAAATTAACGATCGAGAAATAAATAAGTGTTTACCCGTTGGCAAAAATTTTAACGAACTATCGTCTCATGTATGAAATACAAAAACAGGACCTTAGATTATGACTGAACGTTATGAGCAAGAAATTGCCTAATATCAAAGTTGTCATTCACAACGATCACATCAACATCAGAAAGATAAAAACTGCTAATGACAATAATTGGTTGAGCTCCTCGGATTGGTTTAAACTCGTTGATGCAAATTCAGCTATCGACTATTCAACGCAACTCTAACTTTCTCTTTTATGTGATCACAGTCTTGATCATAATCATCATGTACAGTCTTTGTTTACAAAAATCACTTGAGTTTCTCGCTTAAAATAAAGTGCTTCTTGGAAATATTTCAGTTGGAATTATGTACAAAGAAGTTAAAAGAGACAAAGTACATTACGCAAGGGCTGAAACAGGACAATATTGTTGATTACTTTATTTTGTAGAAATGTAAAGGATAAAGATGTAATCATCTATTGAGAAATCGAACCTTGCAAACTTTGTTATGTTTTGTAATATCTCGGGAAAAAAAACGTTCATCTTTTACCTGATACGTGTTACATTGAGTATGCATTATGACGAATTCAGCTGCTTAAAAAGAAAATGACTTCAAATAATATGTTGAAATAAGAACAAGTCGCGGTCCATTGCATCTCATAAAGCACTTACTCCCAAACACTATAGGCAAGTCAGTTTTTACCTCCATTTTAATGTAACATAATACTAAATAAACGTGAAGTTATCTTTCAGTGCCAAAAGTTTGATAGAAAGTCGCCGTATTTATCAAAAACTCTAAAATTCATACATTAAGTTTTATTATACGTCCCACGTAAAAATCTGTAAATAATTTAGTTCATTCAATCGTAAAATCAAATTATTGATATAGAGTAACTTATAATGATAACATGCAATAATATGTTAGACTTTTTTTCTGTACTTCTTGAGTCATTAGAAGTGTTCGAGTGCATAAGGACAAAAGAAACCTGAAAAAAGAAAGTTAGAATACAATATTTGAATTAACAATATAACGCGTAGTTTGCATTAGCCTGTGCAAATCGATCTGAGCTCAACCAATCAAATCAATCAAAGAGAAAATGCAAATCAATCATGAATGCATGTTAAAAAATTAAAACATTTTTTATAATTCATCTGTTTCGCATTATTATTTTACGAAAGAAATAAATGATGTTTATAGTGTTTGCACTGGCTTATACAAACCAAGGAGATCTTTGTAAGAACTCTCGAGCAGATGAAAACTATAGTACTGATCTGATCTCGAATTCTCCCAAACGTATCCTCGATTCGCATAGGCCTGTGCAAACACATTAAACATGTGTTATCAATAAAAAATATCTAATTCACAATTACCTACCATGCAAAAACTAGGTGCATCTTGAATGTCTGTTTGTTCTACAGATAGTCAGCGGCTCAACTGTTAAACCAGGAACACAAACACACTGTCGGCAGTAGGTCTGATCTTCTTGAATCTGCTTAACTATTGTCGTCTTCATTGCTCGCTTTAACAACCTCAACCAATTACCATGAACTTGAGAGTACGCCTTAAGATTAAATACAGCTCCCTTTGTATACTCAGCAAGACGAATGTGATCATTGGCTGGCAAACCAATTGTTTTTTCTTTGCTGTGGAACAAACTCTTCTTCACCATCGCTTTACCTTTCCACAAACCAAGTACATCTTTATGCTCTGAGCGTTTAAAGTATGGCCCAATCACGTTAAATATAATTCCTTGCATGTTCAGTTCTTTCTTTGCCTTCAGGAGAGGTGCTTTTGTCATTGTTTCACGATTTTGAGTTGAAAGCATGATAACTACTTTGCTTGCTCCAGGTTGGAATGGAAGTTGAGCAAGGTATTCAATAGCTTCAAGCGCATTTGCTCCCTGGCCATTGAACTGCATGCTAGCGATAGTACTTTCAACATTCTTTATGCTACCGAAGATCTTTCCTCCATTAGTGACAATATGCGGACGTTGAAGGAAAGCAGTTTTTCCACCAAACGCAACCACAGCATATCTTGAAGTGTAATTGCTTCGTAACTCGTTTTCGAGCTCCTTCAGAAAGCCAGATAGTTGAACAGTATGATTTTTCATTTTGAGCGTATCCGGAATCATCAAGACTACATCAACATTGTTGTTACCATGTTCTGTCCATTTCACCCAAACACCTTTGCTTCCACAGTTAGCTATGTTATAAGATACAAATTTTGTCAGTTGAAATACTTAAATTATTATGGAAAATTACAGGGTGACAGCATTAATATAAAATTAAGTTCGCATTTTTTAGTTTATCAAATAAACTGTTTAAGAATCAAATATTTGGTTGAAACTTAAGAATCACCGTACAAAACTATTTGAAAGTAAAAAATATTTGGTTGGTAACTTTCATAATTAAAATATTCAGGGTGAAATGTATTTTTTGTGAAAAGAGGATGTATGGGCTCCTAGTTAATGTGATGACGTCATAGAAAATCTGAAATTACCACATTCTTGGAGTTGGCTCGCCCAAATTCCTTTCTTCCTTAGCAGAGTCGTGTAAGCGGCAGTAACGTTACAGAAACTCAGATTTGATGGAACAGATTGACAATCAGATGTATCATATTGACAAGCCTTGTAGAATGGAGCTGGATCCAATGACTTAAAATACTTTGCCAAAGGAGAGGTTGAACTCAAGAAAAGATCTTTACATCTCGGCGATGGTTCCGTTTTACATGTTGGCTAAAAGAGAAGAAAAATTGTAAATTGTTTTGTAATAGAATGATCATCAAAACAGAGCTTTAGAGAGTTTGCAACTATGTCACCAAACGTCACTGTGATGTCACGTGCAAACACACCATAGGTTAATTACAATCATCTTAAGACTAAAGTGTTATGTTGATAATGGCAATGAATAGATTAAGCGTCAAAAACTTTCATACTAAAACACAGAACATGTGTACTTAAGGATTTTTACCTTGCGTTCAGAACTGCTAACTTTACACTCTCGATCTCCACTCACTTCCCAAGCGTTTGCGAATTCAGCAACAGATTTGGCAATGGTTTTGTCCGGCTTTAGAAACTCGTCATATTGTTCGTTGTTGTTCGTTCCCAGGAGACCTAAATAATCACATTCATCAATGTATATTAAATGTAAATGCAAGACACCTAAACAATCCCATACAACCATTTATGTGCATCAAATGTAAATGCAAACCCAAAACATTTACTAAATTCCATTTCGCTTTTTTAGTCAATTTTTACTTTTTTGCTGCAAATCTCGTTGAAATGCAAAACCTAAATATTGCATTTTTTACATTTAGCTTTTATTTTTTTGCAGCAAATTTTGGAAACACGTCACAATATATTTCTACGTACCAGCAAGTCGACCATGATAGAACTTGTTTATGTTGAATGTGCACAAGAAATGTTTGACGTCACAAGCAATATCGACACCAGTATCATGATGAATCTTTACATATGATCCTTCTCTTCGTACACTCAAATCTTGCATTTCAACTGGTAGTTCGTAGTGAGTCGTCTTCACATCGTTTCCATCGACATCTTTGCTCACAGTTGCTTCCACCTTACCATTGGCATGGATCTTGACGTAACCAGATTTTGTGTTTATTATTAAAGCAGTTTCTTGGCTCATCAACGTGAAGTTATTATCGCGGAAATCATGTGCAAGTACATAAGTACATGACGGTTTCTTGTATCCAATAAATTGATATGAATGGCCATCAAAAGTATAAACGTGTGGTTTTCCAAATATCATAGCAACACCTAAAGACAATAAGATCAATTTTTACAGAAAACAACTTCGTAGATTATAATGATGCAGTCAAGACAAAACAATTTACTTTATTGATTTACAAACACAATGACTTACTATCAGAGGGTGGAATCCAATGAAATGGATCAGTCAGTGTTTCAACAATCTCCCACACATCACTGTATTTGACAATCCGTTTGATGAGATACATCACAAACTCGCTGGTTTCATGACTCAGTTTCAACAACCGCTGTCCCTCAGAATAGCAGGCCTTGCTAAGATCAACAACATCTTTCACCATACGTATGTTCATTACGTCTTCTCCAATCTCAATTGTTTTGTTATTCAAGTCTTCAATATCTACATACTGATTAAGGAATGACCTCATGTCAAGTGATCTAATGATGCCTGTTATTTTCTCTTGGATAACATCCCGGTTTTCGTTCATGATTTCGGTAAAGTTCTTGTTGGTTCGATATATGTTCTTTTCAAATTGTTCCATTCTTAGCTTTGTTTGCAATTTAATAAGATCAGCTCGTTTCTGCAGATCATCAGCTAAAACTTTCAATTGCTTGAGAATAATTCTGATGTTTTCAAGGGTAATCTGTCTCAATTCAACACTCTTGTTATAAACAATCTTTGCTTTCTCATGACACATATCCACCAATTTTTGTTGCATTCTTGTTATCTCAGCAAATTTCCGGTCAATAGATTTGGAGAATGTCGTTAATTTTGTAACGATTGATTTGCGAATTTCTCCAAGCTTTGGTTTCAAATTAATAGAAATGTGCTGGTACAGCTGTCTCGTTGTCATGTTACATTGATCAAGTGCCCAACTTATGATTTTCTCACAACAAGTCACACAACTTTGGTATAGGTTGTACAGTCTTGCATGGAAAACACCACATTTCTTTGCTGTAAGGTTGTATAGATCGGTTAAAATTGTACGCAGTTCGACAAGTTGTTCAATATTCAGTTCAAGATCACCAGTAATGAATGCAATTTCGCTTGCTCGTACGATGTAAAAAATATCAACAATTTTCTTTTTAAATATCGGCAAGTCCTCTTGAATATCAGAAATAATAAGTTTCACAGCATCTTCAGTCTTTTTTGACAGGAAGGAGAGTTTATTTTTAAGCTTATTAATATATGACATGCAATTTTCCTTCACTAAAGGTAGAACTTTATCTGTAACATACAGTCCTCCATTTTGAAGTTTCACAGTTGAATCGTTGATTAGGGTGTTCAAATCTTTTCTGATATTATCAAACGTTAGTTGCCACTGCCTGAAAGAAATCTTGGCCGACTCGGGTAGTTTTGATAAATGCTCAATGTAGTTTCTTATGATCATTTTTAATTGATTTTTTACCTCAAACACATTCAGAACGGTGTAGTTATAACGGTACCAGAGTTCTTTGTAAACCTTAGTTGTCATTTTTTCGATGTTTGAACCCAAACATTGCATCAACCAAGTTTTCGTTTCATTAAGCTTCGTCAATACTTCTGAATTTTTAACGTTTACGTAATTTATAAGCTTGTCTTTGTAATGATCAAATGATATCCGTGCCTCAGTGTATGTTTCCTTGATCAAATTGCTTCCAATAAGCATTGAGATGCTCATCACATTTTCAATTTTCTTCAGTTTTCCCGCAGCGTCCAAATCGTGCCATTCCATTTTGATGTATTTGACAAGTCTCGGCAAATCGTTGTGGTACATGAAGCTTGTTTGATTCAAGAAACGTGCAACATTCTCACTGATTTTTGTGTAAAGATTTAAGGCTGTAGCTTTACATACTTGTGTGGAATTTATAATTCTTTGTACGTGGAAATTAGCCAACTGTACTAGTTCAGGATTAGCACTATAAACCGTATCAACTGAGCCGTAGAATTTTGTGACGAACACTATTGTCTCAAGTGTTTCGGTGGCAAGGAAATGCATTTGATCACGTGTGTTGTTCATAATGCTTTCAGCTTTTTCTTTCAGCTCCGTCATTTTTTTGTCGTTAACACTTTCTTTCACTTCTTTAAGCATAATGATACATCTATCGAAAGACTTCCTTGTTGTATGAAATACTTGTTCGAACTTGTTTGGCAAAACTTTAAGTATATGTAAGAGTTCGTTTGGTGTTAACTTCGTCAGATTATAAATTGAAACATATTCGTTGACAAATCTTTTGCCCAATACCCATCCTTGTTTAACATGGAAGTTCAATAATTCGACGAGTTCGGTTGGTCGATAACCAAACTTGGCAAAATCAAATGAAACTATATTCAAGACACGTTTTCCCCATCGATTTACTGTCATGTAAATGTCTTCGTAATGATTCTTAATGTTGGTGTTCAAGGATGCAAGATGTTTTTTAACTATTTCAAATCCTTTAAGTAGTTTGCGAATGTAATTGTCCAGAATCATAACCTCATTGACAACAAAAATTGACAGGTTTTTGTACATATCATGTACGGGTGCTTGGAAATTTCTTATGTGCTGATGGAGTTTTTCCTCAATTTCAAGAATACTGATTTCTCCAAGACGTTCAAACATTCCAAAGAATAGTTTATTTTTCTTGACGTAAAAATCGTTTGCTTTTGACATAAGTTTATCAAAGGTGTTACGAAGATTCAAATATAGCTCGTTAGACTTTACCATAATAGCAGTGGTTATGTTTTCAATTTCGGTCATCGTTACTGTCTGGAGATACTGGAATCCATTGTGAGACATATTTCTTATATTACGAAGTGTTAGCACAGATTGAGAGAGCACGTGAACTTCTTTCAGTTTTCTCAAAAATGATTTTCCAAGTACTTTGCTTACAAAGACTGCTTCGTGGTGCAAAATTTCCTGTTCTATTGCTGTCCAAGTTTTATGAGTACGAACTTTATTTAGAGTTTCGACGATAGTTGAAAGAAGTTGGAATTCACTAATAGTTTTGTATAACTTAGCAACTTGTATCAGCAATGGATTTTGTTTAACTGAAGATAAAATTGTATTTACGATAACATGTTGACTCTGATTCGCCATCATTTCAGTGATATTCCTGCATTTAGTATACATTTCATCATATTTCTTTACAATCAAAGCAATATTCTTCAAAGCCTTTCTTCGCTGCTTGTTGTAAACATATCTTGCAATTTTTTCATATGGAGTCAGAGTGGTGATAAAGTCTTTTTTTACCTCTTTGTTAACTTGACGTATTTTTTCAAGGACATTAATGGATTCAGTGGCGGTTTCATTTATGAAATTATAAAATTTCATACGTAAGCTTTCAATGTCATCGAGCAAAACTTTAAACTTCTTATCACAGCATGCTTTGATACTCAAAGTGCTATTTTCGAAATATTTTTTCATGCTGTTGTAGAATTCTTTGAGTTTCATCGGCTTCACGTGTTCAAACCAAATCTTAAAATGCTCATATTGTTCCGATAAACTAACCATCAAGTTCTTCATGTTGGACGCATGCGCAGACGTCAATGTTTGAATGTGATTGTGATAGTAGAGGGATATTTTTTCGTAGCTTTCTGTTGCAAGATATCCATACTGTGTTGTCAAATTTTGCACTAACGTGTTGAACATCTTCATCTTTTCTTCAATAACCAGCTTATTTCTTTCATAAATTTCCAATATCTCAATGAACTTCATCATCGCACTTTGGTACAAGGTTAGTGTCTCATTTGTTACAACTCTAAAAATATTATTCAAAGCTTCGCTGCCTTTTGTTTGCATATTTCGATAAATTTCCTCGATAGGTATGTCTTTATACAAATTGATCGTGTTCAATATTTCTGTTTGGCTGCTCTGCAATGTTTTTAAAAGCATCGTACGGTATTTGAATATGAAAGTTTTCAAATTGTTATACAGTTTTTCTTGAACCTTCATGGTCTCTGTCTTCAAATTTGAAACAAGCAAGGAGGCATCTTTTGTGAGTTTTTTCAACAAATCAAGAGTCTTGTTGATGGAAACATCGCGTATCTCATTCAGTTTTGTCATTGTAACATTAGATAAATGTCCATCGCGCAAAACCAAAAACTTTCTCTTTAATGTTTCCACAGAGTTTTCAATAGTTGAGTATGAAAGACTAATGGCTACAGCATAGTATAACTTAGTTGTGGTATAAAATTTCAAAGCATTTTGATAAATATTTGCTGTGACAAATTCATAAAGTTCGAATTTATCGTATTTTGCGAAGTATGGTACCAAATAAATTGTCAATATAACTTTTTCGAGCTTCTTTTCAATCCATTTTATAAAGTGTTGAGCATTGATAAGTGTAGTATTCACCAAGTCACCATAAGTACAATTCCAGGCACCGTTAACTATACTGTCGAAATGAGATGACATGAAATCAACAGCTACAACTTGGAACTTGATAAATCTGTTCTTCATTTTCTCTACATTAATCTTTAACTGATCTTCAGCTAACAACACAAGTTCGTCCATGGACAAATTTTGAAACTGATCATATAAATTTTTCAAGTGGTGGAAGTTTGCCAAGTATTTTATCGTCACATTTTTACAACGTTACTCACATGATCCATTTTCAAGGCAAAATGTTCGTTTTCTTTATGAAATCACTGTAGTCGTTTACGAGAACAAGGATTGGTTGAAGAATTCTCATTATCTTCACATCTAACTGATTTTCCTTAACTAGTTGCTCAACTTGGTTCTTCAGTTGATTCAATTTAAACAAAACGCTTGCATTTACAACATTCCATGTTTGAAGAAGTTTCTTTTGATTGACTCGTAGATAATGTTCCGCCAGCTTTGTGCATATTTCAAGATTAACTTTGGTACAATTAACGTCGAAGTTACAAGTGAAAGCCTCAATAAATTCAATTGCTTGATAAATGTAGGTTTTAATGTTCTCTACTTTAACTTTGGTGTGTTGGCATTTCGCTAAAATCAGCTGTACTTGCTTTACGATGTTCGCCATTGTTATTTCATAACCTCTCTTTGCATTAATACTTACAGCTTTAAGCAACTTATTGATAGTAATGCCACCAATGGAGATGTTGAGGTAACGCTCAATTGTTCGCGATGAAAACTTCATAAGGTCGTTGGGAAACAATGTTGTATAAGGAAAAAGATCTGTTGTAATGTCTTTAAGAATTTCGACAATGTTCTTGTACGTCTGGAATAACAAATTATCATGCATTCTCGTCTTATTCATTAGATATAGAATATCAGTTGCCAGTTTCTTTCCCAATAAATCGAGAGATGTAGAGAACTCGTAGATAGTATTGTTAACATCAATGTCACGTAGCATATTGTGAAGACGCAGGAGCTCCTTATGGCTTACATTCAACAGTTTCAAAATGGTGTCATGTCCATCAGTTTTCATGTAGGAAACAGACTCATTTGCGATTTCCAAAGCAGATTTTTTCAAAGAGTTAATACCATTGACAAGGTTTTGCACTGATAGGATTCTCAACATATTTCTTGCCACTTCAGATTCTAACCGTAGGCGCAACTTATTTAGGTGTTTGAATGAGCTTATGGTAAGTTTTAAATCTTCAAATATTGCCTCATAGTATTTGTGTTTCAGAATTAGATTATATTCATCTGCAGTCGATCTAATACCAACCAGTTCCGTAGAAAATGCTGAACATGTTGTAATATTGAACACGAATTGTCTTTCATTCATCATGTTGGCAAATACTTTAATGGGAACATAAGGTAACACGTTGATATTTAGCTGCAGTTGTTTAGATGCGAAGTCTATGAAAAACGTATTATTCCATATATAATCCAGTAGAGATAAAGTTGAGGTGAAGTCGATACCGTTGTTATGTCGAAGATGGCCACTAACTTGAATTGGTGCTCGTGATGTACCGTAATTAAGTTGCCAGGAATATAACCCACTTTGTTTTTTAAACATGGCTGAACTGCTAATTGGATAGTCGAAGATGGTCAAGTTTGACAGTAAGCCGAGTGACTGATGATTATTGACGAAAGTAGCCTCGTAAATTACGTTTATTCCTGGTAACATTTCATACTTGATCACTAAATTTCGAGAGGGCTTGGTGTAGGCAATTTTGTTGTGGATAAACTGCCCAGGGGCCAGCTCCATTTTTGACCACATAACGAGTTTGTCGTCTGAGTTGGCAAACTGATAGATGGTAGTCAGGAATTTATTCTTTGAATAGTGTAACTTTGTTGTAACAATATGATTACTGTCTCCATTAATTCCCTTATTGATGTACGACAATGAATAACCGTATCTATAATGACGTGAGTGAACTGCGATGACAAACATTGATGTTAGTTTCTTTTCTAGTCTTGAATTTGTTAATGATAACCTGTATTCTGCACTATACTGCAAAGCTTTAGCACCAACTTTTAAAGTATGTGAAGATGACTTTCTGTGAAGAAGAGCAAAGACAGATCCCATTTTCTTGTTTTGTGAAAACATGTTGATCTGGACTCCTTTGAGTGCGGATTCACGAACAAAGATGCTTTCAAATGTTACGACTTTTCTTTGTATGGTCAAATCAAGACCTAGAGATCGCTTTCTTTCTGTGTACTTCAACAAAGCTTCAATATTCTTTCCATTAACAATTCCTCTAAAGCGAAGCCCATAATAAGATGGTGAAGTCACAACGCCAACAAATACATCAGACACTTGCCGACGGTTGTAGTTTGTTTGAAATACGATTCCTTTTGCTGTGGAGTTGTTTTTCCATCCAGCTTTAATTGATGCAGTTCTTCTATATGCCTCAATCATCAGATGTAAGAAGCTTTCTTCAGTATGGTTTGTTAGGTGAAGACGAACAGAAAGATGGTCTCTTGTAAGCCCCTTGAGTTTCATTTTGATGAAGTTTTTATTTGAATCATAAAAAGTCGCGAGTGAAAGTTCTTTGTTGTCGATAATTCCTTTCACTAACCAAAGTTTTCCATTATCCACGTTTGAATATGTCGACATTAGTTCTATAGATTTATTCATAAATGTACCAGAAAACTTGAGACCAGCGGAGTTACCAGTCACAACACTCCAGCGAGCAGATAGATCCCTTTCTAAAATCTTCGCACGCAACTGGAAGCCTTTTTCTGACTTAGAATTGAAAATTCCGGCATCAAAGGTTAAGGAAGAATTATTATGATTTGCATTGATCGACAAGCCAGCTTCAGTTTCATGATAGTACGGGGACACAGCTAATTGACTTTTGAATTCTGGTCCTGTTAAATTAAGATTCAAAGTGGTCTTGTTGGCAAATCTGATCATTTCACAACTAAATTGCAGATTTTTCTGGTTTTCCGGTTGTTTGTACTTTTGAGTGAAAGAGTAAACCCTTTGCGCTTTTCTTCGTTTGTATAGTCCACATCTAACTCTACTTTTTCATCGTTTAAATAAGCACCAATACCTTTGCTTTTCGTAAATACACCTGTTTTCATGAAATTGTTATTGAGAGCAGCAGAAATCTCAAGATTCTTCTTAGACCATCTCCTTGAAGAGTATTCTACAGTCGCGTTTGCTTTGTTTTCAAATCCTTCAACGACCCATTCAACTTTTTTACCATTTGCGAGGACAAAATGACTAGCACGGAGCAAGAACGGCTTCTTCATAAATTCGCCATTTAATTTGAAGAGTGATTCTCTCTTTGGATTGGAAGATCCCAGGTAACCATTTATGTATGACGACGAGTTCAGATGACTTAAACGCACATGAAAACCATTCTCTAAAGCATTCCATCGAGGATAAGCTTCAAACTTTACCACATGCCAAGATGGTTTGGAGATCATATCCACAAGAACAACTTTCTTTTTCGTGTTCAACTCTCCGTTTATTTTGATTTCTTTCTTTGTGAGATTATTTCCAATCTTTACATAAAATCTACTGACGCTTTTTCCAAGTTTGCCAGCGAAGAATAGTTTGTTGTTGTTGGAATCATCAATTTTCACATGCAAACTCTTTTTCAGCAGTGAAAACTGTGCTTCAGTCAGTATATGCTTCATTGGCCAGTAAGTAAATTTACTTTTGATACCGTATCGATCGTTGTGTTTATGGAAAGAAATAACATCAGTTATTGTCAGGTTGTTGTACCTAGCATTTATTGCTATGCCGATATCTTGAGCATTTGTCTCGTTGTTTTTCGTATTAAATACCTGTAAATAGTTTTGAAGTACTCAAGTCAAATAGCAGAAATTGCTTTAGACATGTTATTCGCACGAAACCATAAGGTTTTTAATCTTTGTGTCTTTTATCACATTCGCATTTTATATGATACGATTTTATTAAATGAACTGCATTAGCGAATCATAGAACGAGCAAAAACCACGCTTAATTGTTGTATTAGCCTTCGGCAAGTCGAAATAGATTCGCACGATTATTCTGTTTACGTACGTAATGTTCAACATCATAAAATAAAAACAATAAAACGCGTGCATTGATTGGTCTAGAGCCGTGTTTGCATTAGCCTGTGCAAAACACATTTGAGCTCAACCAATGAAATCAATCAAAACAATCAATCAAAGTGAATATGCAAGTCGATCATGAAAAACATTTTAGAAGAAATATCTAAATGTTTGTCTTTTTCGCATTATTTTATTTTATAAAAGAAGTAAAAGATGTTTTTCGTGTTTGCATAAGTCCGTGCAAACACAGTAAACATCTTTCATTTCTTAAATGTTTTTCATACACGATTGCTAATAACAAGCATCGAAAATGAAAATGGACTTACCTCTGTTTCGATGGTGATTGGTCGAAGATAAGACATAGTTGGTGTTGAGAATTTAGTTTGAAGTCTGTTTGTTACGTTGTTGTACTTCGCCTCAAATTTACCAAATTTGTAGTCATGGATACCACATGTCACACCCAAATATTGACCATCATTCAAGAATTGAAATGTAGAGTTGCCAACAACTTTTCTTCCAAATGTGAGACCTGGAACATGTACACTGAACATCCAATTATAACTGTTTTCATTTTCATCCGTAAGGGTACGTGTTTCCACTTCAAATCGGGCAAGATTTGCGTTGGTCGTATTGAAAACCATTCCAAATGATGTGTCTCCAGTTAGAGGAAAGTACGGAGCATCATAATCACGATAAGCCAATGGAAGTGAAACGTCTCCGCAAAGACTTACACCCAGGAATCTTGAGAAGTCAACGCAGCTCTTATGCTGGGTAAAATGAAGAATAAGTTTGAATGAGAATATTTGTAATGAGAAATATCAGCTACGAATTTCGAACGATACAAAATGTTTTAAGATTAATATTCAAGACTGTTCGAACTTATGGAACCGATCACAAACTTTCTGTTTTAGTCGTCATTTTTCTTTTTTTTCGTTCAATACACTGCTTCAGTTAAAAATATTGCCCTATTCAACAACTTTTTCTCAATCAGAATCTGATAAGAATACATGTTTACCTCAAATCTTCTTGGAGATCCTAAAATCTTCTGTCGTTTCTCATTAAGAAATGTTGCAAGATTTGATCTACAAAAACATCATAGATTTAAAACATATGTTCGTAAGTAAAACTACGTTGCTAATATTTCCTAAAATGTGCTGCCATTGTTTAGCTTAACAAAATATTAAATATACTCACTTGACGTTCACAATATAAACTGGTGTACTCGGTGGCTCGACACTTAATTTGATTCCTTCACCTTCTTTGTACGTAGCGTTACCATTGATCTCAGTCGATGTAAACAGCGAGGCATTCACTTGAATACCTGATGATGAATGTGTTGCATCTACCATCATATTAGCAGAAATATAAACTGTTGCACTAAAGAAAAAACATTTAAAAAGTTAATTGGATGACATTAAAAAGAAACATCGTTTTTACTACTAAACTTGCATAATTCTAGTAGAATGCGTTTTGTAATATTTTAACTGTGCTACACTGAATCACTTGCCCTGGAATATCAAGTTCATTACACTCAATTGCATGAAGATTGAAAAAATTAAGAAACACAAATCAGACGTGAAAAGATTTTTTCGTTTCATTAGAAAAGGCTTAGTAAGCATTATTCTTCCTAAAACTTTTTTCAGCACGTTGTGAAGATAATTTTAAAAAGGAATTATTTTCTTTACCTTGGAGAGACGACACCTCGTACGTCCAGTTTTTTCTTTCCCCAAAACATATTTCGAATATCAAATTTACCGTTGAGCGTTACAGAAGTAACACTTGATCCATTTACAGCTAACTTTAGAGGAATTCCAAGAGCCGTTGGGATTTCATGAACGGCTTCAAGCAACATGAAGCTCTTGGTGTAAGTTATGCTACCGCCTCGGGCGATGTTGATTAAAGTATCAATGACGTTAATTGAGTCTGCTTCTCCTTGTAGCCAATCAATATCTTCAAAGCTCAGAAACTGTAACTCGTGACCAAAAACTTTTAATGATATAGCACCAGTTGGGCTCTTTCTTTCGATTTTCATCTAAAACAATGTACATTGTAGATTTATCAAAATGATGTACAAAAATGCTTAAGATGATATTGTTCATGTTAGTAGATGTCGATCGTTCAGGATGGTAGTTATACTGAGAACGACTGTTGATGTCGGTGACTGACGTTTCGACAACCTTAACGATGGTCATCTTGAGAGACTAGTAAAGTTACAATGTCAATACTTTATGTAAGACTTACTGAACTATGATAATGTTATGATATGATTTAAATCATTAACGAACAAGATAAAACTGAAAGTTATTTTGTTCGTTTATGAATCTTCTTACTTTGTTCTGAAGTGTTAAGAGGTTGCTCTTGATTTCGCTCATTTCGTTGTCATTTGTGCTTCTTTTACTGCGAGAATGAAATTCGTTGGTTTTAATGTTCAATAATTCCATAAGTCGTTCATCTGGGAAGTGTCCATCTGGTCCAAACATTTGCTCGATAAGACCTTCAAAACCTTCAAATCGCGCTGCGGTCTCAATTAAGTTAACTGACGCTCCCAACATGTCAACAGTTAGGTTAAACTTGGCGCTACGAGGAAAATAACTGTCTTGATGGAAAATCATTTGAGCTTGACTTGAGCCACCAAATTCATATTTTCCTGTAAAAAAAACATTACATAAAACAAATGGAAAGTAGCAAATTATTTAATTAGCGCGAGTAATGAGTTGATATCATTTATTTAGTCGTCAATACTTCACAAAAAGATGGGCGTGGAAGAAATGTGCAATATTCTAAGAAAATTTATTTGCCTGTTTTTATCTACTCTATTTGTAGCGCATTTCGTGATTTATTCAAGCACATGATCCTGCCACGAAATGGTTATAGTTATTCAGTACATAATGATAAAAAACAAATAAGACGTAAAATAAACTTACTGTTGTAAAATGAAATGTCGTAGGCATGGGAATATCTCAAAAATCAAGATGAAAAGTAGGAAGTTTCGTCCCATTAAGTGCTCTTGTTATTAAGTCACGTAATCTGAAAAGAAGTAATTTCCATGAATTTCCGTATAAGAGCAGATATTACGTAGGTGTTGTCAACAAAGATTTGTTATTTGTACTCACGGGACACCATATACTGGCTCTGATGATTCAAGTGCATTGGTTAAATGTGATGAAACAAAAGAGGCAACTTGGTTATTTTTTTCTTCATTGAGAATGTCTGCAATCTTCTTAATAAGTTCTTCAGTAGGGCATCTCATCAAAGCAAGATAACTCTCAATACGAATTTCTGTATCCATTGCAAGATCGTCAAATATATACATTAATCCATTGGTAGTTTTATGACTGCAGGGAAAACGCCTCAAGGACTGAATGGCATCAATATTGACGTAAGATGAACTATTAGTTTTAGCGGCACATTTCAAAATAGTAGGAACTGATGTTGAAGGTCGACCAGCATTGCCAATGGCTTTAAGAGAAAGCGTGATGTTTTCAAGCTCTTGAGTTGCTGTTTCTTGACAATTATCACCAAGTCTTTCTTCGAGAAACTTGTCGGCTTGATAAATGGGACTTCTTGAATTCTGAAATTGAATTTCTTTTGCTCAAGAACTACCCATACTATGATTCAGTAATTGGAGGAAGTTATATTAAATGAGGGATGCTCTAAAATGTTCAAGGTTGGTTGAAATAAGTTCACTTTGAATTGTTCTATTATTGACAACTATAGAGTATACAAAGTAAAATATTTGAGCTCTTTTCAGATATACTTTTCGGGGAAAATAATCGGTTGTGTTTGACGTTAATTGGTCCTTCAATTTTATTGTACCAATCGTAAACTACTATTTGTCAAAAAATTCTCTTTTGAACAAAAATACAAAAAAAAACAAATAGAAAAAGGCGTACCAGATTATCACAGGAATGCTGACTACAATATTTATGGATCAATGTTCCCAATGTTAGAAAAGCTGTTCTTGACGGAGTTTCTTGACAGAAATACAAAATATTTCCCACCATGTCTTCACTTGGTTTACCAACCAATGCGATACCAGTAAGGAGCTGAACAGACTGTGGTGTACCAACTTCATTGTCTGTTATAACACTGACCATAAACTGAGCACAATCCAAAGTACCACACTGAGAGAGAGCATCCACAATGAATTTTCTGAAAATTAAACGCATCAATTTTGGTGAATGTTTGCGTTAAATAACAACAATATAACGCACGCTGTGGTTATTTCATATCTGGTTATCCTTTGAAACACACATTTTCGTTTAGTTTTCAAACACTCTTTATTTTGTTGAGTCCTAAAAGGCGCCATTCATTTTAGACAATGAAATGGACTGTGTTTATCATAGGAATAACTCGACAATGTGGATTGGCGGAAAGGATATAGCTAAATATTTTCAATGTTTTTTACAAATTAAAATCAACACGTATTTGCCTTAAATTCAGCTGCATAATGATAAGTGGGCATAGATTACTAATATTCTTTTTCAAGTTAATGAAAAACTGGAATACATTAATCTTATTGCAAATAAATTCACCTTTTCTCTACGTAACACAGTAGCTTGTCTGAAAAAATTTAACATACTTGTATCTTTCATTCGTGTCTTTGCTGCATCCTCTGTCTTGACATTTATAATGTTTTATCCACACATACTTTAAACCTTTAGTATTGAGTCGTCGTAAAGCAAAAATCAACTTGGTGAAAAGTCTGGCTGTATCAGGCTTAGCACCTTCTTCGTTACCAAGTTTATCAAGAATTGTTGAAGCATCTTTATAATTTTTTGATGCTATCTCTGGATCTTTAATGTGCACGTACTTAAGACTGGAGTTTTAGTTTCTAGAAAGTTGGCAATATTTTTAATCATCATTTATTATGTAACAGAAATGGAAATGAATTTTTCAGCACTTACTTGGTAAATTTGGCTGAAGACCTGAGTTGGCGACATGGCCAATTAATGAAAGGCTTTGTCTGAAAGGTAAAAAATCAGTCTCGCGATGGAGTCAAAGTATTTAACTGTGTTTTAAGGCAACACTTTATTGTCATGTTGTCTTTATCAGAAATCTTTCACATTCTACTCATATCAACTTACCTGACAATGGTCATTGCCCCAGACGATGAGTTGTAACCAGAGGAAAATGGACGAAAGAGATGAGTTTCTTCACATATGATCTTACCAAATCGTTGTCGAGGTGACAATACGTATTTGCAGACACTCTCTGATTTTAGTAAGCTGAATGGCTAAAGAGAGATGGAAAACGCTTAGATATTAAATCAAGCTATAATTTACTTAAACTAGGATATTTTCAAGTGAAAATTTTGGGTAAAAACATAACTAATATGTATAAATGAGTTTTTTGAATGGGTAAATTAGCGATGAATACATATTGTCAGTTTTTTAAATTTGTTTTTTCTACAATTTTACTTCGAATTAATCATAATCAATGATAATATAGGTAGGAATTTATACAAAATTTACCGTGATGACTTTAGTTCAAGAGTGAAGAATAATGAACAGAAAATGAGAGAATTTAGGAAGTTTTAATTTACATATGAGGCATTTATTAGTTTGTTGTTCAACCGTTGTATAGCTATATTATAGGATTAGGTATCTTGCACAAATGGTAAACCTAAACCTACCTTATCTGTTGGATAGTGGGTCACTGGTATGCCAAGATTAGTTTCCGACCTGTCGTCACAAGAAGTAAAGTTCTTTGTTTTCACAACAGTCTTAGCTCTGCCGCTGTCATGACGGGACTTTATGTGATAGAAAGCATTGCATTTTCCGTTCACGTCAACCTTTAGCGATTAAATAAAAATTATTAAATGAAATTAATTTCATAATTAAATGTTTCAAATTTTTACTTTTATAACTTCAAAAAATTCTTTGCGGACGCGATGTGACAAGATCTTTCACGGAAATAAAAGTCTTAAAAGTAACGAAGAATTGACCCGTGTTTTATAATCAGTTCTTAGACATAGTCTTATTATCTGTGAAAAAAGATGACCAAATTAGCGATATTTTGTCGATCGTGACGAAACATCGTAAAATCAATATCATCAATCAAAATATCATATTGCGCCACGTATCACTGACAATAAATGAATTTTATAACGCAATATGACACTTGGAGATATCCAGTTTTAAGGGGGTTTCATTTCATAGTTGATCCAAGGGCAAGCCTTACAAAGGTCAAAAAAACATGTCTCGAGAAAGATATTTGAAATTTCTTTATTGAGTTCGACTGCTGAGAATAAATCACGTTTGTGCTATGGAAGTTTAAAGCAACCTAATAAAATGAAACTGTTCAAACGAGTTGATCTCATGTTATCTAATAATCGAGACAACTAAATTGTTAAGAATGATTTAACTTTTTAAAAATTGTAAATAGACGAATATAAAAGGAAAGTTCAATGTACACACTATAATATTCTTCGTATTTTCATCACATGCTTAGAGCATTCTTTTTATCATCGTTGTGTGCGATAAAATGAATGGTTGACAATTTGAATAATCTTTTGAATTTAAACACAAAACGTGACAGTGTTTAAGCATTCCCATGGTTTGTAGACAAACAATTAAGAAATCTTTATTTGAGGCTGTTTTATAAATGAAAAGTTCAAATAACTTTGTAATGACAGCATAATCCTGAGTGATGAAACTGGCAAAACAGCGGGAGACTCCGTACCATGGATACTTGAAAAATATTAATAACAGCAAGGACACTCTAGGTCACTGAACGAAAAGTCGTCATTGAAAATACGTGATTCCATATACGTGCGAACGATAGATATTTAATTTATTTTTAAAATCTAAAATAACATATAAATCATATTTTTAAAAAAGGAATTTACTAACGCCCGTGTTTTGTGACTATTGAAACCAGATGATATAAGCCTAATATTATGTAGAGAACTGATGCTTAACCAATCTCTGAAGTGTATATTAACATGAATGAAGGCTATAATATGCAACAAAATGTATTTAGAGTACAAAATCTATGTATGTGCACCACATGCATCATGTCAAAAGATCGTGATTCAAAATTCCTTTTTTACCACCTCGAGTTCCCTGGAACCAGCTTTGCTGATGGATGATTTGTGCATCATTTGGCAAATACAAATGACAGATGAAAAACATCGTAAGCTCGATTGTCAAACTCACAGTGCTCATGTATTATCTCCGCCCAATTTTCTTACAGTTTACAAAAGTATTTTTTAAGATATTTCGATGTTCGTTGAAAAAAGAAAATACTTTACTTTTAAATCCTTAGTTATTATTGACGATGTTTCTATTCAAATCAAATGATAAAGGTGCGGTGTGCTAAAGACAGCTGTTAATGCTGTAGACCAAAATATCAAATATCCTTGACCAAAGGTGTCTGTAATGTATTTTAGGTTTAAAAACATACCTCGCTCAAAGTTTGATCGTTATCAGTAATCTTCAATTGAAATGCACTCAAGATTCCACGTTTCATGTTTAAGATGCGTTCAGGTTCACCTTCAAGTGATTGGATGTTTGTAACAAAGCCGTCATGTGTTTCAAAGTATACTTCTCGAGCTTTAAGCTCTCGGCTAAGATCCTTGCTTCCTGGTGAAAGCTTGAAATCTAAAGCATCAGTGTTCTTGCCCTGGCCATCCAGAAGCTCCGCTTCAATAATCTAAACCGAAAAGCTGACACATGAGTAATGTTTGAAATTGACATCAAACATTTATTTCTATCTTGTGATATTATGAAATTTAAAAAAAAACGCCTATGTCTGATTGGAACAATGAATCATTACTTTTCCTTACAGATATCCAAAGTTCATGAGCTGGTACTGGGTTGAAAAAATTAGTAACGAAATTTATAGATTTTGCAAAAGATTTTCAAAGACTATTTCTTATTTCAAAATAAGTGATGTGTCTTTACTATTTATTAAGTTAAATATCTCCACACTGTTTTTGCAAAATGCATTCCCTAAAATCAAACTATAACTGAACGGACAATGAAAAAAAAATAAAAATGAGCCCTAGATATTAAGCAATGAATAAATCACCTGAAGCATATATGTGCATGGTAGCACAGCTGTTATTTGACATTTTGCTCTCAACCTGAGTCCAGAACGCTCGTCAGATGTACCAATCAAACCAGATACTGTTTCACCCTCGTAAGAGTATAGCAATGTCTTTTTTGTGTGGAAATGAGACACATCTTAAAAATAAAATAGATAAAAAACCCTAAAATGATTGAAAAATTTATCCAAGAAACACAAAAGTCTATATATCATGTTTCCAATTTTGTGCAAGTTCAAGGGTAAATTCCTGAAGGCGGAACGCCAAGTGTGTCATAAATCCTTCTAAAGTTTCAAATGTTTCATGTTTCATATCCATCCTTCATTACCAACTGCTTAGAACGAATGATTAGAGTTAAATTATTACAAAATATAAAAGGTTGAAATTCTGCGCGGCAAAAATGTTAAAATATTTTATAGTGACAAGCTTCATCATAAGGTTGGACAATACATAAACAGAGGCTAATCAGGACGATTTTATTCCCTGATTTAATCATAAATTTACCTTTGTTACAATTTATTTTCGATCGTTTGTTTAACTCATTAGATAATGGTGCTAAAAAGAATAGGAAAATTAGCGAATTTTAAAATGACAACGGCAAATTTACTTCCCGTCAGCATTGCATCAGTACTAGGGAAGAACCAAAGTCCATTAAATTATTTTTCTCTTGGGATTGATATAATTTTATACATAATTTAAACTCTTTCGCAATTCAAACGCGAATCTTTGGCAATGGAAAACCGAGCAGATTCATCATCATAAATGTGAAACCACCAACAATTTTTGTGCTTCGCTAGCAAATATATTATTCATTTGTACAATAAATGTCAGAGGGCTTTCCATATAATAATTCTGCGCAAATCTCTACAGATAAATATCAAAGAAGAAAAAATTTAAAAAACATATAAGTTATACCTGTAAACACGCCAGATAAAAACAACGTTACTGCGAGCAACCTCATTTTCTCATTGTTTGCTATCAGTCTCTGCTCACTAGTCTCTGATTCAAAGTGCAGAAACCACGCGCAACCAATGCAAACTAATATGAACTTGCATCACGCTGGAGTCAAGAAGTTTATTGATGCATCATAAACAGCCAAAGTACTTTCGTCCAATAAAAATCGACCTCATATAAAACCAGTCAATCAGGTTATAAAGCTCCTATGCGCATGACCCGATATGCCAACATTGGTAGATTTGACCTTTTGGTTTATGTATACATAGAACTGGCAAGAACGACGCTATTAGTAAAAATAGTATAGCCGGTGTCTTGATAATGGAAAAAATCTCTGAATTAAGAAATGAAAACGTGTTATTTAGTTACGCGTTTTTTGAAACGTGGAGCATTTCTTAAAAAACGTTCTTATGAGGGAATCTACTGGAAATTATGCAATAATTGCATAACACAACAGGTATGATTTGTCGTCCAGAGATTTGTTATTTCATTTAAACGAAATGACCTTTGATATGACGTCGAAGTAAGAAATATTGGGCAAAATGGAGAAAACAACAAAAAAATATGGTTGTAACATTAAAGCAAAATACAATTGTTAACCATTGGAATACAGTAAATTACAACTACAAGCACAACTAACTCTAAACAACAACTAACTTCTTTTTCCAAAAAGCACTTCCGTTGATTGAAAAGTCCACGAAGCCGTAGAACGCAGACGTTGAAATATGTTTACAACCAGTTTAACTCTTAAGTCAAGTTTTAACGTTTCATTTACTGAAAAAATAGTAAATACTTGTCATGGACGGTGCTACAAAATTGAACCTGGGGGGACTACGATTTATATTTACTAAATTTACTACGTCTTAATTTATCTTAGGTCAGGCTAAAATTTATAAATGTTAGCAAGAACTGTTGCTAGATTTTCGTTGTCTCAATGAAATGCAATGCTATCAAACACGACATTGCAGTTTTTTAAACAATTTGATAACTGCTCTCTTGCAAAATATCTTATTAGTTTCTGATGTAAAGACAAAAAGAGGTCATCTAGTTCATTGATTATCAGACATTTAACATATGCGGCCTTTACATAAAAAACAATTCTAAGAACTCCATCAGCGAAAACGCATTGATACATTTATGTATATATTCATTCATATTATAAGCGATTGATGCTATTAAAAAACTTTTTAATGAACAAGAAAACACGATTTCACATACACCAGCTACGTAACTTATTTTACACACAAATAAAGGCAATAATTACACTTCCTTCAAACCTAACATCGGCCCTGAACACACCCATGCTTGACTAGATTAAAAAAATAGGTCGGCTCTTTTTTACAAGGTTAATGCTGAGCGATATGATACGATTTGACGCAATTTACTCGAATGAAAATCACCACTGTAGTATAGAAGGTATTATATAAATAGCATTTCATCAAGATCCAGATTAATCTTTTACCAAGTTACACGAACACCCGTTATATTTTCTGTTTTCATTCATAGAATTATGTTTTTTTTATGTTCTGAACTTATTTTTAACGTTAGATAAAGAGAATTTTCGCGCTCAAAAATGCCTTCATCTAAAACACAAAACAGATTTAAAGATTTGTTTATTGAACTTGAATGAACTTGTGCCCGTCATATTAAAGTCTGACGTCATCATTTACTTGCGTGATTTGGCCCGGCAACCATAGTTGGATACAAATAATATATTTAGGCTGCTTCAATCCATTTGGCACATGTGTTAGTATCAGACGTCACAACGACGTAAATTACGCTGCTTGTGAAAATTTAGGATGTAGAACTATAGCTCGGTGGCTAAGTTGTTCAGGTTGACAGCCCAAGATTTACAACGAATTGTGTTCATGTCGATTAAAAAGAAAGTAGAAATGTCTTATTTTTCAAACGTATCATGTTTCAATTAAAGTTATGTCATAACAAAAGTCAACAAAGTCAGAAACACACAGCTCGCATAGCGATTATAGGTTTTTTCTTGTTCTTATTAATGAATAATCTGGATTACTTCACTAATTAAATCACTTAAACATATGTTCCATTAAATGACAGAGTAAACAATGATCCACATAGCTAACAAACACTAGAATTGGGGATTCTCAGAAATAAATTCAAATATTTAATTGTTGATAAATATATTTGTTTGTTGTAAATTAATGTCATATTGTGCCCATGTCAAAGATAACCTACTATCAACTTGCAAAGCCTTGATTTCTTTAATGTGCTCTTGGAGTGATTGTTTTAGTCCATCAGCATCCTTATAATGATAAACATTATAAACATTGTGACGTGATACTAGGAGATTTCATGAAGACCTATCTCAAATTTGTGTAAATTTTCCAATTATATAATTCTGACTGCCATCATTTGAGAATTACGAAAAACTTATGCTGATAGTAATGCTTTGAAAAACACTTTTGGCTATATACGTGCAGTAAAATGGAATAATTTAAAATAAAGTAGTTTCGACGCTGTATGTACACTACGGTGCGTCCTCTGTGTTGTTGGGCTACAACTTGCGTACGTGTGAAATTCAGGCACGTAGCCAGAACGATAATTTGGGGGGGAGGACTTATATTCATATATTCATTTTCTAATCCGTCAAAAAACACTCAATGGTAAAAAAATGGATTTCAAAAGAAACCAATACGGCATGTCATGCATATATGAATATGCACCCCCACCCCCACCAAATTATCGTTCTGGCTACGTGCCTGGTGAAATTAAAAAATAAATGAAAACTAACGGAAGTCGAACTTTGATTGAAATTCTATGTGTACAGGAACTAGAAAGTCATGAAAGATTACGAACTATAGTATTCAACATCACTTATGTAGTAGCTAAAACGATATAGTAAACCTTTCTATTTGGTTTGGTAGGCGACTTTGTGCTTACTACTGTGTAACATATAGATTTTCAATAAAACTTCGACTTTAGGTAACTCTCGTTTAATTTATTTTTCATTCAAGAGATTTGTCATGTGCAGCGGACGCAGTGTTCATTAAATTTTCTGAGATTTTCATACTTAGTAAACTAAGGCCCGATCCTTCATCCAATAAAAAAAGTTCCGAAAATCTCTTCAAAATGCAGTTTCTGTAAAATGCTTTTCATTTTTCAAGGATGTATTTTCTGTTTGTATTTTCATAGACTAAGCTGATAGATAAGAGTACGTCTTTGTGTTAGTGCTAGTTTTGGTGATGGGTGCTGATGTAACAGTAGGTCTATGTGTTAGTGTTAGTTTTGGTGATGTGCGCTGATGTAAGAGTAGGTCTATGTGTTAGTGTAAGTTTGGTGATGTGCGCTGATGTAAGAGTAGGTCTATGTGTTAGTGTTAGGTTTGGTGATGGGTGCTGATGTAAGAGTAGGTCTATGTGTTAGTGTTAGGTTTGGTGATGGGTGCTGATGTAAGAGTAGGTCTATGTGTTAGTGTTAGTTTTGGTGATGTGCGCTGATGTAAGAGTAGGTATTTTGTTAGTGTTAGGTTTGGTGATGGGTGCTGATGTAAGAGTAGGTATTTTTGTTAATGTTAGGTTTGGTGATGGGTGCTGATGTAAGAGTAGGTCTATGTGTTAGTGTTAGTTTTGGTGATGTGCGCTGATGTAAGAGTAGGTCTTTTTGTTAGTGTAAGTTTTGGTGATGTGCTGATGTAAGAGTAGGTCTTTTTGTTAGTGTAAGTTTTGGTGATGTGTGCTGATGTAAGAGTAGGTCTTTTGTTAGTGTAAGTTTGGTGATGTGTGCTGATGTAAGAGTAGGTCTTTTTGTTAGTGTTGGTTTTGGTGATGTGCGCTGATGTAAGAGTAGGTCTATGTGTTAGTGTAAGTTTTGGTGATGTGTGCTGATGTAAGAGTAGGTCTTTTGTTAGTGTAAGTTTGGTGATGGGTGCCGATGTAAGAGTAGGTATTTTGTTAGTGTTAGTTTTGGTGATGTGTGCTGAGGTAAGAGTAGGTATTTTTGTTAGTGTTAGTTTTGGTGATGGGTGCCGATGTAAGAGTAGGTATTTTGTTAGTGTTAGTTTTGGTGATGTACGCTGATGTAAGAGTAGGTCTTTGTTAGTGTAAGTTTTTGTGATGTAAGTCTTTTGTTAGTGTAAGTTTGGTGATGTGTGCTGATGTAAGAGTAGGTCTTTTGTTAGTGTAAGTTTGGTGATGTGCGCTGATGTAAGAGTAGGTCTTTTGTTAGTGTTAGTTTTGGTGATGGGTGCAGATGTAAGAGTAGGTATTTTTGTTAGTGTTAGTTTTGGTGATGTGCGCTGATGTAAGAGTAGGTCTTTTTGTTAGTGTTAGTTTTGGTGATGGGTGCAGATGTAAGAGTAGGTCTTTTTGTTAGTGTTAGTTTTGGTGATGGGTGCTGATGTAAGACTACGTATTTTTGTTAGTGTTAGTTTTGGTGATATGTGCTGAGGTAAGAGTAGGTATTTTTGTTAGTGTTAGTTTTGGTGATGTGCGCTGATGTAAGAGTAGGTCTTTTTGTTACTGTAAGTTTTGGTGATGGGTGTTGATGTAAGAGTTTGTCTTTGTGTTAGTGCTAGTGTTAGAAAATGCATGAATTAAAGACTTTGGCACAGAGAAAAAGCATTTTCATACGTTTTCATGCCGAAGAACATAGTTCATGCATTTTGACACATTTTTAAGCCAAAGACTATAGTTCATGCATTTTCACACATTTTCATGCCAAAGACTATAGTTCATACATTTTTACACATTTTCATTCCAAAGTCTATGGTTCATGCATTTTCACACATTTTCATTCAAAGACTATAGTACATGCATTTTTACACATTTTCATGGCAAAGACTATAGTTCATGTATTTTTCCTTTTTTTCATGACAAAGACTATAGTACATGCATTTTTACAAATTTTAATGCCAAAGACTATACCACATGCATTTTTAAACATTTTCATGCCAAAGACTATACTACATTCATTTTTACACATTTTCATGCCAAATACTATACTACATTCATTTTTACACATTTTCATGCCAAAGACTATAGTACATGCATTTTTACACATTTTCATGCCAAAGACTATACTACATGCATTTTTACACATTTTAATGCCAAAGACTATACCACATGCATTTTTACACATTTTCATG